TATTGTCCCCCCATCTTCTATTTTTCCTCATTTTGACCAAAGCTGTTTCTCCAACTCTCCAGAGTTGTTGTTTCTTCTCTGATCTGCAGAGGCAGGAAAGGGAGGTTTCCTCTCGGAAACACTGTGGTCAGGGCTGAGCCAGTCTTGTTCTTCTTCACTTGCCTGGTTTCTCTCTTCCTCTGCTTAATGGGACTCCCCGTGCCACCCACCCACACTCGTGTCCCCCACATTGCTGCTTTCAGGGGGATCAGGACTCTGCGTGGTCAACGTTACCAGTGCACAAGAGGCTGAGGCTGGCTAGGTCCCAGCTGCTAACAACTGCTATTCTGCCCCGTTCCCCAAACAGGGCAAGTCACTCCACCCTGCTGGGCATGCTCTGCAGTTCCAAGGGTATAAACTGGACATTTCTCAACAGTGGTGTTGTCTGACCTGCCTTTCAGCATGTTCCTGTCTACACAAAGTTTTGACCAGCTGTACTTATCTGCCAAAGTAGAATGGGCTTTTGGCACACTGTCAAGCATGATCTCTTTGAGCCTGCACTATCTGTAGATAAACCTGGATGAGTTGTATGGAAATGTGGTGATTTATCCTGAAGTGATTTATCCTGAAGTTCAAAGGTGTGTGTGGTGCTTTCAGCCTCCAGCTTGTGTCCTTTGCGCAGCAGTCTCTCCAGCAATGCTGAATTTTCTGAAGGACATGACTGATGTGTGCCCTCCAGCACGTATGCCCTCTCCCAAAGGACTGTTATTAATCTTTTGAAAGCAGCCACTTCAGTGTTTCAAAATGTGTTCAGCAATCCTTATCATGAGGAGCAACACCGGAGAGGTACCAGGTTCCCGTGTTGGAGACCTAAAGTGAAAGAGAACTTGAGATTAGATCCAACTCAAGTTATAGCAGCACCTAAAGTCATGCCCAACTTTCATCTCTGTCAGCCTTTCATTGCTGTAGGAGCTTCGTCCTTGTGCAGGACCAGAAATTTCTTCCGTAACTGCTTGACTTCTTAGCAGAAAGATTCAGAGGTGCACCATTTGGTCAGGGATGCCCAGATGTGAAGCTTTGCTGTACAGTCTCATGGACGTTCTCCAACTCTGCACGTACTTTCCAAGGAGCTCTTCAGCTGTCTTTTAGAACCAAACAGGTCCCTGTGGCACATGTTATCTAAAAAGAAAGTGTGTTAATTATATCCTTCTGGGACCTTCTCAGGCACTTTTTCTGTTGGTGACTCTTCATTACTCTGTGATGAGAAAACAGACATTTTGGCACGTGTTGCAGTATCTTCAGAATTCTCAGTGTCCTAAGAATATATGACCACAGACAAGGTACCATGTGCGTGTACCAAGTAGACATATAGTAAGTACCTAGCAGAGAGATGCCAAATTTTACTGATCCCAAATTTTACTAGCAAAGAAAAGCCCCCCTCCCCACTTTTTTTTTCTTTATGAAACATTCCATGGAAAAATGACTAATCCTTTGGTTTTCCTTGTATTGGGATCTGACATCACTATGATCTTAGAATAATAGAATCACAGAATGGCTCGGGTTGGAAGGAACCTTAAAGATCATCTTGTTCCAACCCCCCTGCCATGGGCAGAGATGCCACCCACTAAATCAGGTTGCCCAGGGCCTCGTCCAACTGGTTCAAAATAGTTGCATCTTCTTCAAGACAGATTTTTTTTTTTTTTTTTGGTCTATGTTTTTGCTTTTCCTTCTTTCTCTTCTTTGAGTTTCAGAGGTAGATAAGAAATGTGGACAGCTGGTATCTAGTCTTTAATAATGCCTGTGAATCGAGATGTATAGTTACTTCTGTACTGAAATAGTTATTTCTGTACTGAAATAGTCAGCTGTCCAAGGCCAGAGGCAGTGAAAGACAGTGCCTTTCACTTTGTTTTATGGTGGCAGTATGTGATAACCAGAGGTGACAGGATTTGAAAATAGACAATAGCTTCATTGCAAAGGATAGTACAGAGCTTGGTAAGGGAAGGAGTTATTTATGGTGCATTGGGTAATTGCTTACTATTTCAGATGTATTTGTGAGCATTTTAAAGGCTATCTTAACTTGATATTCATTGCCTTGCACGTAGATTACTGTAGATTTTCTTAACTTAATATCTTGGTTTTAACACAAGCATATGATCATAGAATTACAAAACAGGAAGATATTCAGGGAGTATTAATAAATCACATCATTGTGAATTATATGGAATGTGTTCATAACAAAATATTTATTTTGCAAAATTGTCCTTTTAGAAGAATTGGGTTGCAGTAGCTAGAACAAGTGACATGCCAAGAGATTCAGTTTATATTAGGACAGCAAAGTGAATGTTTGAAATGTCCTTGTCATTGGCCACTTCATTTTCAGCCTTCACTGTAGCATTTTATACACGTGTTTTTCATTTAATTCTTATGTTTTTACGGGGTTGGAATAATTTAAAACTTCTAGGGAATTACACTGCTCCTCATTTCCATTAGATTTGACAATGACATTGTAAGTTATTTTCCCAGCAATTACTCACCTTGCGTAGTTCATAAGTTCAAAAGGTATCAAGTTCAAAGCTTGAGACCTGCAATCCAAGCAGAAAAATGCAGGAGAAGATGGTTTATGATGATTTAATTATCTTTAAACCAGATTATATTCATCAAGCCTAAGTGAGCTTAAAGAAAACTGATTGAAGAGCTAACTTTAGCTTTCCATAGTTCAGCTATCCAGGGTGTGTTACTAGTAATGCACCGGGGGAGATGGGAATGGGGGAGCAACCTGACAGAAATCCTTGAGAACTTTGATCACAGAATCATTTAGGTTTGCAGGGAACTCTTGAGATCATCTGGTCCAACATCCCAGCTCAAGCAGGGTCACCTAGTTATCATCTTCCAGCGGTTTAAAGTAGTCCCCGTCTACTTCTGTGTGACCAGGAGATTGCAGCAGTCCTAAAAGCTCTTGACTAACTTCAAACCTATACCAAAGCACAGGGGTCCATGCATTCCTGCTCTTCTCTCACATAAAGGGCAACCCCCTCCTCACCTTCCTGGCCTGTCCTTCCTAAAAACCACATATCCCTCCATCACAGCACTCCAGTCATATTTATTATCCCACCACATCATGGTCATGACCAGGTCATGGCCCTGTAACTACACACAGACTTCTCTTCCTCCTGTGTGGGCCTCATGCTGCATGCACTGGTGCAGAGGCATCTCAGAGAGGCATCCAAGCGTGCCAATTCCCCAGGACAGGCTTGAGAGCTTTCCTCACCAGGCATTTCTGCACACCCCTCCTTCTTCTTCCTGAGCTCAAAGAGATGCCACCTCAATGTGGTTTTGTAGATTGTCGTGTCCTTTTTTTACTCCCACCACTCTGGGCCCTTGGCTTGACTACCCTGTCCCCAGCTGTCTTAGCTGCTTGTTGAGGAATCTCTCCCTCCCCTGTTCTTTTTGGTTTAGGTTGGCCAGCCTTATTAGTTAAGTGGATCCCATCTCTTCTAAGCAGCTGTTGACTCTCAAAGGGCACAATGAGTTTCCTCATTGTGGAAATTCGCCAACAGCAGCTGTGCAGCCAGTTACTGGTCAGTACAAAATCCTTGCCTCGCACAACTGAGAGGGATGGGCTGCACGCACTGACTGTACTGGGGCTTCACGTGAACCCCACAGGGCTTTTGCCTCAAACTATACAAGATAAGGCCCCTCTGCATGTAATGTCCCTTTCAGGAGCTGAGACATCCAAACCCCAGTAATCCACACAGTGCTGGAAAGCCGTCGCCCTGCGTCCTCGTCCTTGCAATCTCAGGTGTTAAAAGGAGCTTTGAGCCCTGGTTTTGTGACAGCCTCTGCTGTAGATAAAAACAATTTTTTGCTGTCCTTGGTGTGATACTTGCAGGCAATGAATCTTTCATATGGCTTTTGTGTGCCTAAACCCGCTTTGTGTAGCTTTGCTTAAGTTATATGGCAGAACCTCTCTCCTTACATTTAGGGGAAAAAAGGCTTAGTTTCAGGTTTGAGCCAATGCTCCTCAAAGAGTGAGTTACTTATAAGTAGTCAGTCCTTCTGCATGTGTTCAATAACCGTGTTTTGATTTAGCTTTATTAGATTTAAAATCAATATTGCTTTTCATACCAATGACCTAATCCTTATTAAAGCTCTGCCCTGACAGCTTTCAAAGTTCAGCAGTTTCTTTATAAGCGTATGAAACGGGTACAGTCTGAGCTCCTTTAAAGAAAGGAAATTGATTTATTTACCTCTGCTGGATTTAAAAGCAGTACACATGTTTTTTTGCTCCAAATAAAAATCACAAGCAGTCTGAGACCAAGCACTGAGAATTTTATCTCACTGATATATTTTCAGAAAGTTTTGGCTTGTGTGAATTATGGTGAAAATTATATTGTTCCCTTTTGTTTTCACGCACGCTTTCAGGGAAGCTCACTGCCTCTAGCTAGGAAGGTGTGGTTAGAACGATGCTCTTCTTGCAGTTTGTTTCTGTACAGATGTACAGATGTAAGTTTAGTATTCTCAGTTTCTTCTTAACAAATTTCATGAGAATGCAAGTTTTGGAGGAATCTTGATGATGCTATCTCCCTTTAAACATAAAATTAATGGGGTGATTCCAGAAGAAGCTGGACAAACAATGAAGCAGAAACCCTCAGAGGATTTGTCTCTGTTACTTTTTTTCAGGATTTTAATTGCTAAATGTACTGGTGGTTGTTACGCTGCTTGTGAATTCGGTAGCATCCACAGGTCTGTAGGCTTAAGAGATTCTGATTACTTTAGGGGGGAAATGAAGTGGAAACTGAGGAGCCATGATTACTTGGGGAAGAGTATTTCTTTGATAACACTTAATGCCTAGGATAACCTGGTTCAAGGCTTTCCTTACACTGTTGTTTTGGACAATGTTTATAAGAGCTATAAATCACCGTTTCTCTTTTCACGAAGCTGATTCTTTGAAGAGAACACAGTCAAATTCACCTGCAGTGAGTTACATTTTATTTATCAATTAACCTCTGGGATGTTTTCAGATAATATCAAAGCCCAATGAGCCAGCTCGCCAGCATGAAAGCCACCCGGAGGAGACAGAAGAAGAGTTACGAGAACACCAAGCCCTTTTGGAGGAGCCATACAGCGACAGAGTCGCAAGCCAAAAGGAGGCCCCAGGGCTGGCCAACATGGTGCAAGTGAAGCAAGAACCCATTGAGAGCGATGAGGAGGAAGCCGAGCCACAGCAGGAGCTGGAGTCTGGGCAGAGGCAGGCTGAGCAGGAGCTGCTTTTCCGTCAGGTGAGCTCAAAATACACTTGGGGCTCCTGGAACCAGGCTTCTTGGTCTTTGGTGGAGTTCAGCAGCATCTAGAGTGAGGGGCTGAATTGCCATTGTGTATTAAAATCAGGATATTAACCATTCCTCACCTCAGATATTTACAGCTGCTAGGAGTAAGTGTTAGAAATCTGTTAGTTACCTGTAGAAAAACATGTCTGCAACTAACCCAAATGCCAAAAAAACAGTTCAAGATTTTACCAGCATTTTAATGGTGGATTATAATCATCGTACAGGAACAAGCTACCCTTGTATGTATAGAGTGGGAAGGTTAGCACTAAACTAAACTGACAAATACAGCCTGAGCTTGCAGACAAAGCACAGCAGCATGAGGACAAGTCCTGGTGTTTATGAGAGTGCTGCTAGGAGCCTCTGGGACAAGGGGAGGCAACAAAAAGCCTTGCAAGGAAGCAGTACAGTTACTTTACAAAGTAAATCCCCATATTATCACAGTGACCATTTGGGACTTGGCTTTTTGTGACCTCTTTATAGTACTCTAAGGAGGAAAAAGTAGGGGTAAGCCACCTTCTGAGTATTTGGTACTGAAAGAAACCTGCAAGTAAAATCAGTGCCATCCTTTCCTGGAGTCACAATGTCAATTCAAAAGTCCCAGATAAGAGAACCTGGATCATCTGCACAAAATGCAGTCGGTGTGTTTGCAGCCACCCAAACACTTTCTGCTTCTTTGGGAAGACAACACGTCTTAACATTTTTGAGCCCTAAATACTAGCAGAGGATTTAGTTTTATTCTGATGTCTTAAAACAAACTGACTGCCCCACGGGAGGGCCAGAGAAGGGAACAGGTGACAAAGTGGTTTTCCTGAAGGGGATTCCTTCTTCAGTACTGCAGATCCCAGGGATCCCAGGTGTGCTCACTCTGGACAGTAAACACCAGAGGCACGTGGATTACAAGCAATAAATCCAGTAGCAATGCAGCATGGCATAATCTCCCAGAAAATGCCATTTGTGGTAGCTCTAATGAGAAGGCTGCGATTCTCTTAAGGCACCGGTGCTCTGCTCATCCCTGCAGCCCGCAGCACTGAGTGCCTGACTGTACCTGGAGCCTTGGGTAACCCCTGCGTGGGATCTGCAGCCAAGAACAGATTGCTGTAGCCATGCCAGGGTGTAGCTCTGAGCAAATCCACAGCCCTTGGCTAGGGAAGGCGGACTGGTGCCAGGCTTGCAGTTGCAGTGTCTGTGAATCAGGTGCAAATTGGTTGCTCTGTGCAGTCATTTGCATCTAGCTGCTCGCTGCCGTCTCCCCGGCACTGCGGGGCCGGCTCGCGGGCCCCACGTGAGCGTCCCTGGCTGCAGCTCAGAGCCTTCGTTTCCAGCTCCTTATTGAGTGGCACGGTCTTCATAACAGCGCTGCCTTGAGGGATCGGTGCCATTGCCAGCCGTGCTTGTGCAAAGTTCTTTCTCTGATTTATACAACCATACATAGGCCTCGTTTCCTTGGTAAGAATAAATAAGGAAACGCGACATGACATGCTGCTGGTTATCAGGGAAATGGGTCCAAGCTTGCAGACTTTAAAAACCCTTAAAAGCCCTTCCGTGAGGGCACCATGCAGACATTCAGTAGCTGCCTCTTCTCCCCACAGCAAGCCCTCCTGTTGGAGCAGCAGCGCATTCACCAGCTGAGAAACTACCAGGCGTCGCTGGAGGCAGCTGGCATGCCCGTCTCCTTCGGAGGCCACCGGCCTCTGTCCCGCGCACAGTCCTCGCCTGCCTCGGCCACCTTCCCTATGTCCGTACAGGAGCCACCCACTAAGCCAAGGTTCACAACAGGTAATGTTTTGGGGCCCTGGAAACTGAATCAGTGGGGCTGTGGTCACCGTTTTCCTTTACATTGTGTTTTTCTGCCCCGTGTCCCTGCGAGGCCACGTGTCCAGGGTCTGAATCTCAGATGTGTTTGTGGACTCTGTAATATCCTGTTGTCTTTGAGAATAGCATCAGTCATCTTCTGCCCTGTTGTGCTGCCTTTTCCTTCCCTAGAGGGACAGTCACCCTATAGTCCAGACAGAAAATAAACTGCAAAAATCAATAGAAACATAGCCTAGTGCTTTAATTATATATCTCCAGAAAGAAAGGACAAGTCATATGCTGTGACAAGGCTGATTTACATGCAAGGAGGAGAGAGGCAATGTTATTGAAAAAGGACAGCATGCCAAACGCAGTATCTATCGGCTGTATTTTCTGCACCTTCTCCAGTCCCTGAGCAATCTCATGCCATAAGTTATCCAGTCTGGGCTCTGTGCCAGCCTACCCCTCCTTCTGCAACACAATCCCTGCCCAGGAGTCTGTGCCTGTAGGTTAGGAAAAGTGAGGCGAGATGATTATTTCAAGTTGTCAGTGTGCAGAAACAGGCTGAAGAGCGTTTTCTTACCTGGTCAGTCTTTGTCTCGAAAGAAAATTATGAGTGCATTTCTCCATTTGTCTAGTGAAAGCAAAAATGCAAAAAAAGGTGTTAGTCTCCCCACAGAGTTTAAAGGTGAGGAATAAATGCTGTACCTAAGTCAGTGAGGACTTAAAACCAGTCTTTTTTCCACCAAAATCCTTGCTGCTTATTCAGTAGCTTTAGTAAAAGTTAATTATGTGCAACTTTTCAAGTCCTGTGTTAGGTGAGGAGGACTTATTTTGAAGTCCACCTTCTTCCCCGAATGTCAGGTTTTATTTTGTGAATGAACATTTTGCCATGTGACGTGTGCCCTGAGGAAAGGAGAAAAAAATGTTGCAATTAAGGGCAGCTCTTGATTTTGTTTCTCTTTGGTTTGTTCATTTAATCTTATTTAACCCACTCAAAAAGCATCATTAAAACCATCATTGTGAATTAGATTTATTTTCAGATACTGATGGTATAGTAATAGTGATGCATTAAATCTGACTTTGTTCTTCGGCTGTTAGTTGCAGGTGGGAAGCATGTGCAGTCAGCTCTGTAAAAGTCCAGGTAGTACCTAATTTTTGCAAATCAGCCCTTCAAGTTTCCATCTGCTGCTAATGTTTAAACATTGAATTTTAGCAAAACTACATTTGTAATGCAGCCAGTTACAGCATCAAGATTGTTCTAGCTTTTGGCTTTTGCCAAGGATACAGAGAAGGGTAGTCCTCTGGCTCACAGTCAAACCAGATGAAACTTGAGCATCTAATACACTTAGACCCAGACCTTGGTGCTTTGAAAACAAGTAAGGAAGCCTGGCCCTACTTTAAGAGATTATTCATTCCTTTTTCTTTCTTCCCTTCTCCTCCTCCGCTATTTAAGTTGCCTTGTCAATCATATGCAAGACTTTGAGCATACAGTAACGTTTCCTACCAGAGGATATATGTTTTACTCAGATATGTGCCTCTGAATTTCATTAAAAATTACATAAGAAAGTAACAGTAGGAATGCAGATTTTGAGAACAGTGCTGCTTTGGAAACACACTGGCACAGTGTTATGATTCATTTTCCTTAGAGGAAGGGTTAAAAAAAATCATTTAAAAGGTGGAATATTGCATTGCTTTTGCATAGTACCGTACATTTACTTAATCCAGAGCGATGATATGAAAAATGCTTCATCTGCTTCACCTCTTAAACATCCTTTTTGTGCTATTTATCCATGTCCAGACTCCCAGGTCCTCATTTTTCCACTGCCTTCTATCTTGTGCAGTTCTCTGTGTTTATGCTAGGTGAATGGAGGAGGGAAAACACAGTGAACTGCTGTTAAGGGAGAAAGTGTTTTTTGGCATTCACTGGCAGTAGTAAAGGTGGAGAGTGTAAAAGGTGAGCTTCCTCTTGCCAGATTCATGGAAAATGGATGCATGACAATTTTGAAGGAGGGTAAAATTCTATTTCCACCATTTTTCTTTATGCTTAGCAAACTTAAAACCCTCTCCACGCTCAGGCCATGAAACCTCTGCTTCCTTCCCTTTTTTATTTCCCAAGGAGAAGTTTTTCAGACAAGCAGAGTTCCTGTGTTCCCCACATGCATTCTTACCCAGGCAAAGCACCAGTTTAATTAACCAGCACTATTTGCTTACAGTGGCAGGAAAAAAAAAAGAGCCTACTACTCCGGGCATGCAGGCACAGAAAGGAAAGGCAGACATCTCAGATGTTAAGCATGTGTGCACGAGTTAGCTTGGTTCTGTTTTCTTGAAGTAGTCTACAGTGTGTCAGAGATTCTGTTTTTGGAGGTGGATACTAAAGCTTAATCACTAGGATTGAACTTTTCTTTGAAAGGCAGGAAATTAAAGCCTTGGGTATTTTTCAAAGCATGCGGTGCCGAAGTGCATCGGGCTTCTTTTTCACTAGGAGAATCCATCTGTTTGATAAGTGGCTGCTTTGGAGACTGATTCTAACACAGTTATGTGCTTTGGATTTCAGAGAGATTAAGATTTGAATTGTTTTGATCATTTTGTGAGAAGGCAGGATAAAACAAACCTTGTTCAATGGCCCTAATGAAGCCGGCAATGATTACTCCAGACACAAATGTGGCTCCTAAGAGATCAGTTTTTGTCCAACAGACAAAGGAACAGTTCATCTCCTTCGTGTTCAGAATACTATATGGAAAGGGCTAATGCTTTCTCTGGACAGAGTTAGGACCAGACAGCTCGAAATTCTGTTTTTTATGTATAATTTATTTTCCTGTCTCTGTCAGTGACCGGTACCCGAGACTTCAAAGGTATAGGAAAAGAACAACATAATACACTTCTCAAACATGATGTGCATTACTGCACATGAAAGTGAAAACAGTGCCCTTCCTGACTTCTTCAAGCAGTCAGTTTTGTGTCCTGAAGCATGACATTTAATTTTCCCTCGTACTAGAATATAAAAGAAAGCTAGTCCTTGAACTTGCCCTCGCTAGCACAAGTAGCCTCCTTGACTTTAATGACTACTTCTGCGCGCACTGTTCTACACACTTGAATAAAAGACTTCTCAGGTTAGGCCATTAATTTGCATAGCTCCAATTATCCAGTCTCTGATCTCCTGTAAAAATGGTTCCACAAATTATTCTGATGTTCTGCATTAAAGTATTTTTCATTTCTGATGAAGGCATTTATTCTCTCCTGTGCAGAGCAATATAATTATCTGAACCTCAAATCATATGTTTGCTCTGCCAAGAAAGGCGAGTTGGTTATACTTTAGTGCTGACCTTTAAAAACGATTGTTCTCATGTCTTAAAGAGTATTGCTTCCAGGATCACTTAATTTAACTTGTAATGGTCAAAGTCGTTTAGTATTTTAAGCTCAAATTATCAAGTTTTCCTTTGTGCGTGTGTCTTCATCTGAGTGTCCCCAACCACAGTAAGCAACTTGGAACATTTCCCTTCTTTCCAATGGTTTAATGTTTCGGTACAGAAAAACTTCATTGAGACATTGCTGTTATCAATGAATTGTTGGGAGTGGGGAAACTTTATACCTCAAATAAATTGTACAAACCCCACTGTAGTGCCCATTAACTTAAGAAATAGGGGTGAGTAGGCACCCTACCACCACATTTTCTGAAAACCTTTTCTTTAACTATTTTGTCTACCTTAACTTGAGTAGGCTGTTAGGAAAGTCCACTTTAGATGTACGCACACATTTTAAACACGCCTGCAGCTTTCCCGCATTCGTGGATGCAGATGAAAAAAATGGGAGGTCACTGGCAAATCTGCTGCACTGCAGGAGTCACGGGAGCAACTGAAGAATGTAAGGTCAATGCAAAAAAACTAGATTTTCATTTGTATTTATTGCTGGTTTGATCTGTGTTGGCTTCTGCCCTACCAGTATTACCAGGCACAAACCAGGGAATGAGACAGAAGCTTTTAATCTGGCTAGACATTGCTTTGCCTACATACCTACGGTTGCATCGCGATGGTATTACAGTAGTTACTATTTAAAGCTCAGAGACTTGAGAAAAACACCTTTAAAAAGAAACACAGATTGCGGCACAGATTCTCATCCTGACTCTTTAAATAGTGTTAGACCCCTTCCAGCTTTGCAGTGCAATCAGTATAATTCACTGTCAAGTTGTGCCCAGCTCCCCAGCAACGAAAAGATCTGTCAGAGCAACAGGATTAAGCATCGTCTGGGAATCCAGGAGGCAAGCAGGAAAGGCTGCTTAAAAAGTACTTGTAACTGCTTGGAAGAGCCTGATTTCTCCTGTAACTCATGAAGGCGTGATATGAACTAGCCTCAGATTACACGTTGACAGTATTGTTACTTATTTCTTGTTCTGAAGAGTTAATTTTAAAATTTGCAGGCTGTGGGTAAATCCCCACGTACCTGGCTTTGTAGCAAGGTACACTTGGAGCAATGCTAGCGAGAGCGTCTCAGATGCAGGATTCTGGCTGGGCTTGTTTTATCGTTTTGCCAAAATCTGAAGAATGGTAAGCTCCGGGTGTATTCACCCCGTGCTGCGGTACAGGCTGTCTCTGGCAAGGCAATGCACATGCCAGTGGCTGTGCCCTGAGAGGGTGCCGGGGTGCGCCCAGCAGGGTCAGCAGCTACCTGGTGAGCGACTTGCTGCTTGGACTTCTTTTTGCTTAAATTCAAGGCTATTTTTTGAGCATGTATGTGTATGTTTAATATGTACACATGCACCGTTTTGCTTTAAATCTGTAACGTATAATTGAAGTCCCCAGAGATATGTTTGGAAGCCAGAGAAGACAGAAGCACTTTTCGTGGTTTAATATCAGCAGTTTAGCCAAACCTAGTGCAGTCATTCCTAGACCCATGAGGGTCTAGGAAGAGCCTACATGGGAATCTTTGTGCTAACAAACACTTTGCCAAAGTGCCTGACATCCCTTGAAGATGACTTTCCTTCAGAACTGAATTAACCCGAATTAAAGCAACTACAGACCTTGTGCCAGTTTGAATAAACTGGGGAGTTTTGGGGGGCAACAAGCCTTACCACTGGTCCACACCTTTGCAGGTGGCATTTACAGCACCAGGCTTTGCCCAGCAGCTCCTGATGAAGTTTGATGGTTACTCCAGCACAGGAGACCCCTACAGAGCTCTGCAGCACGATCTTATTTAACTGAACTTTGGCTAACCCAAAGTCAGTCAATTAACAAGCGCCCTTTTCCCTTCCTAGAACTGAAAACGTTGTGTTTTTTTTTGCCTTGCACTCACCTACAGCAAGGAGAGGAACTGCCAGGCACCTTCCCTAAGGCAGAATAGCTGAGAGTGTCAGTGCCAGAGTTTGCTTCAGAGGGGAAGGCCAAATTTCTCAGCGGCAGAACATGCCTACACGCAGGCAAAAGCTGTGATTCCAGCACCACTCAGACTAGCTAGCATGGGTACAGGCAGCAGCACGGAGCTCAGCTCCAGGCTACGTGTCCATGTGTGTTCTCAGAGCCGTATTTTCCAGGCCTCTTTGAACTCCACGCAGTTGCAAATTGTGCTGTTTATCAGTGCTTACGTGAAAGCCAGCTCAGGGAAGCCCCGCACGCTGCCAGGCGCAGCGCAGGTACGCTCTGCTCTGGTGGCATTTAGGAGGAGCAGTTTGGGCTGGATGCAGACCCTTCAGTGCTGGGTTTGGGAGAAACTCCTGCCTTTGCTGCTAATTCAGAGGCTTTGGATTCTTGTCGAGACCTTTCACTTGCCTGGTTATACTGTGCTTTCGCACAGGCACTCCCTGCAAGAAACCATGCCCCTCGAAGCCCCTTTTTCTTCTGTTCTCTGGAGCTGCTGCCTGAAGGGAAGGACAGATCGAAACATTTGACTGGGTCTCTTCTACATTAAGTGCAGAAAAGGTCTTTTGTCACCAGGAGAGCACGGCTGCAGAGGAACTGCCGGTTCTGTTCAGTGGAACATTGGCTCTGAAATCGTAGCTCCCGTTCCAGAAACCTACCCGGGCAGCTCCGGAGCATGAAGCAGGCTCCTACGCTGTTGTCATGCCATAAATACTTGGTAATGCAAGGGGATTTAGCTGCTTGACTCCCACGTTACAATGAAACAACACGGCTAAATACCTACATATCGCGCTGAATAATTATGCCCAAGTGTGTGCTAATAGACTTAATTAGTATGTTGTCAAATAATGTTGATGCAAAGACTTCGGCGCAAACTATTTTACGAAACACAGTGCCTGCTAACGACTTATTCCTTCTGGTTTTTAATCCTAAGCCCTAGAGTCATTTTAGCAGTAATTATAAAGGTACCCAGCGGACAAGTTGTAAGTCAGCCCCCCTCTAGATCATGTTCCTGCGCTGGCACGCCTGTTCTTGTACCCATGTTGTCATTTGTCACCTCCTCCTGTCACTCGCACAGCTTCGGCCTGCAGCGGTGGTGGCGACTGACTCAGTTCTTGTCTGTATCTGTTGAGGATTTCTAATGGGAGGGATCGCTGCAGGTCTGGTTCTGTGTTCAAAGCAGCTGCCCACCTCATTTCCCAGTGTCTCGGACTGTCATTTCGTAGAGCTCTGTGGTTCCTGGTGAAGCACACACTGCCTTTGTCTATAAATGTTCTCTTCAATGTAAAGTGTGCTAGACCAAAAATAGATACGTGTATTTTTTCATACATCTGGCAAAGTAGTTCCTTTCACTGAGAGCAATTTTGTAACCTCTGCTGCAGGCCTTGTCTACGACACCTTGATGCTGAAACATCAGTGTACCTGTGGAAACACAAACAGCCACCCCGAGCACGCGGGGAGGATCCAGAGCATCTGGTCCCGGCTGCAGGAGACGGGTCTCCGTGGCAAGTGTGAGGTAATCCCAGCACTGGAGGGGGGAGATTTAGGGGGCTGCAAGAAACAGCCCTTGGGTTTGCGTGCCTGATCCGCCTGCTGGATGGCAGGCAGCTTCAGGGGCCGATTTTTGGGATGGAAGGTACTGTGCACACCCAACCTGCAGCTCGGACTGGTGATCGCTACCTGGACGTGCAAACTTTATGCTGCATTCCAGCCTCAGGTTTTTATAGCTCCAGCTGCAGGCAGTGTTTTGCCATATGTGGCTTAAATTTAATCCATTCCTAGATGACTGTTTATGCTCGTGCGTTTGCATGTCAGGAGTGCGTTTCTAGCGATCTGATTTCATTGCATTGCGATGACTGTTGCAAATTTTGTGAAACACTGGAGAACGCTCTTGCCTGATGTGAACTGCACTGTTTGCAGTGAAGCTGCTTATGTCATTTTCGGCCCAGTTCCCTGTAAAATGGAAGTCCCTATCAAGTGCTGAACTTTGAAGCGGCCAAAAATAAGAGCACAAACTGAAGTAACCACGTCATTTGATACCGCTCCAATCATAACAGCAGGAGCTGTGGAGCAAGAAGTTTGTATTTCTGTGGTTTAATAACTTCTTTAATGCTCCTTGATAATTAATGATCAACCTACAGTGAAAATACTGTAAAAGGAATGAGGGTAGGAGGAGGTAACTAAACACTGTTCCATCACAGGTGCTTAAATTAGTTTTATTGGACAAGCATGTTTTAAGAGCAAAGCAAACTATGAGAAAAGTTATTAAAATAAAAAGAGTAAAGATTAATATTTATTATTATTCATAACTAATAGTAATGATAAATTAAAAACAGTGTTTGCTCATCTCTTTGAACATCTGAGGGACTGCATCATACTGTAAATTTGAGTTATGTCAGCATCTGGCTAGAAATATTTTCTGAGCAATCAGAAAATACATCCACGTGGTGGCAGCATTGCCATTAGATAACATTCCCCCATTGTACCCTTATTTATCCCTGAGGAGAGCAAGGAAGAACTTCAAACCTGATTCTGTCCATGGAGATCCATTTAACTGAATTTGGGGATTATGCTGTCTGACAAAAAAACAAGCACCCTGCTGCTGTTTATCTCCTCTGTTTAGAAGTAGTAGTTAAATTGTGCAGTGCTAATTGTCTTGCCTCCTAGATTGGTGCTATAGTTGTTCTATAATGTACGAAATTCTTCATTGTATGATCCCAAGCGACTGCTGTTTTCCCTCCATTGTTATTCTAGGTTGCTCTCACTGTAGGAAGGAGTTGGTTTAGATCTTCACCTCCTTTCCACCTGTGTTTCCCTTCTGGTGAAATTCAGCCTCATCTTAACTCTTCTTTTCTCTGAAAGCGATGAATATATAATGTTAGCTTCCTACCTCGATTCCCATTTCCTTCTCTGAGGACTTTCTTAAAGGTCTGACCTGCCGTTTCAGGATAGCCGGCCGTGCTAAATGCACTTACTGCTCTCTCTGGTTAGCATCCCTGTTCCTTTACCCCCACCATCTCCTACTCCTGCCCAGACCTTCATTAAAGTTTTTCTTTATCGTCTCCCACGGGCTCTGTGGGCACAACCTTTCCCTCTTTCTCCATCTCCTCCCTGCCTCCTCACTTCAATATTCTGTTTGATAGGGTTTCTTCTGGAGCTGCAGACAATTGTTCACCTTCTGTTGTCCTTGACGGATGTAATAAATTTCCATGGTGCAAAGCCATTTGGTCACTCCCCTGTCCTTCACAGTCTTTCTGAAGCTCCTCAATTGGAACCTGGCTACCAGTAAGCAGAGTGTAGGGCAATATAAAACACAGTTTTCCATCAGCAAAGGTAACCTCATCACATGCACTTGGCATGGCAAAGGGATAGCTTTTCTGATGGGAATGATCTCCGCTGCTAGGCTGGAGCATGTGCGTGAGCTGTTGGCACTGCCTGGGATGATGGGCTTGTCTCCTTGCCGCAGGACAGGAGATTTAGATTTAACATGCAGAAGGCTTCATTCTGTGGAACACACTCAATGATACAATTGATTTAGAAGGAATTTTGGAGTCCGGCCTAATAATTGCTGCTATTTTTTTTTCAAATCCCTGTTTCTGTGCAGAAAGCTAAGTGAAGGACAGAAAGGGCTGCTACACCCTGCGTTCCCTCTCTGTCCTCAGCAGCAGTGGTGTTTGTGATAGGCAAAACTCAACATTTTTCCAGGCGGCACATTTTTCCTTTTTTGCTGAGCTCCTGTTTTATTCTACATCATTTTTTAGCTGGTATTGCTGACTGACACATCTGTGCACACTTGTTTTATTTTCACTGTTGCAGGTATGTTGTCCTGTGCCTCAGACATTATGAGCCGGTGAAGTAAGCCCAAGGGCCTGATGTGAAAATTGTTTGTGATTATGCAGTTAATCCACTTATAACAAGTCGTGTTTGTAAAAGGACAGTTTGAACTTTGACATTTCCTTATCCTCATGTTTCCTCTTGCTTCCTTAACGCTCCTTTGCTGTGGTCTGGGTGTGGGTCTAGTTTGATTCTATTGGCTGCAAATATTTGCTCCAAGGATAAAAACACAGCACCCTGCATAGTAAATAATCCTATACACCCTGTATGGGATCAGGCAACTCCACTGGGATCCCCATTCCTTTTCCAGAAAGAGTTCAGCAGCTCTTGTTCCCCACACAACTGCGTGCTGGAAATAAATTCCAACTCTGTTTTCTCATGCAAGCTCAAACGATTCTCTGTCTCCTGGAAATTTTCTTTTGGTGTTTCTGTTGCACACATGCCCCAAGCCAGAAAAGGGCTCGCAGATAAATATTTTATCATGCATGCAAAAAAATACTTGCTTTGAAATTTCAGAAATGTGAAAACCCATTTTCATCAGGCAACCCAGAGGCTTCTGCAGAACCTGCCAAGTGCCGAGTTCCTACCATTTCTCTCGGAGGCGATAGAAGTGATCCAGAAGGGGCACGAATATTTTTAGAACAGAAAAAACACATTGCTTCCCATCCACCACCCTCCTCCCCCCATCTTTCGGCAGTGAAACAGATATGTATTTGCTGAAGTTGTCCAAAAGCTGTTTTACATCCAGCTGAGGGGAAAATGTGCGCCAGATTTGCAGTGTGATAGGTAAGAGTCTGACAGGGTTGCACAAGTTTAAAGATGACCCTTTGGAGTGAAAGCAGTTGTCCAAACTTAACGACAGCTGCGGTTTAAAGTATTGCTTGTTTAATTAAGTTAGCTTTATAAAATATGGCAATTACTCTGGTGTATGTTCAGAATTTAAAAGCAACAATTATACTAATTGAGGCAATCGCAATAAAAGAGCCTCTCCCCCAAACAAAAACCCGCAATCACTGTGTAGAATAATCCTCCCAGCCTTCATCAAAAGCATGAGGGAATCAATAGGTTTTGCTGTGTGCTTTGGACATAATCAGATCCGTGGACTGCTCAACCAGGACCGGGAAGAATGAGTTCCTGAATCAGGGTCTCCAGGCCTGTCCTGGCAGCAATCCTGCGTTGTTTAAAGTACGAGGGCTGCTAGCTCAAGCCCTCGGGTTAATTGCAGCTGCGGAGGACAGACATGGAAAACAGACCCTGGGCTGGGCCATCTGCTCGAGCTGAGACGTGCACAGCCTTCCTTACACGGCCTTGTGCCAGCATCCAGCTCGAGGGCAGTATCAGTCCCTGCTCTGACACTGCCAAACCGCTGGGCATCGACACGGTGAAGGTTTGCCATCACAGAGCACCCAGGCTGTGCCCAGGGAGGTGGTGCTGGCAGGGTCTGGGATATCAGTTTCTGGAAGGAGGCTTTGTAGCCATTTTCATGGCTTTTTGTGGCACTGTGGCTGCAGCTGGGACAAGGTCTGCCTTGGATATCCTATCTTTCTGGATATCCTTACATTAGATCCAAGGACAAAACTGGCATAGGGGTGAAAGGGAAGCTATAAAAGCCTGTAAGGGGTGACTAACACTGACTTACCATGAGCGAAAAAGGAAGACAGGATAAAAGTTCAAGGGGGATTTGCCAGATATTTCCATCCCTTCTGGGTCTAGCATTTTTGTGATTATTGCCTCTTTAATGGGACGGTGTATTTTTGCCTCATCATTAACCTCAGGAAATGCTAGGTGGTGAAGCAGAGCACAGAGAAAATGAAAGAGGAACTGGAGAGCAGAAATGCCAAAATTACGAGAGCCAGAGTGCACGAGCACTCCTGCAGTGCTTTGATTTCTGCTGCCTTATGGCTCAAATGATTTTACAAAGTGATTTCCTGTGCGCTTTGAAACGCAGGACGGAGGCTTACGCTGAAGCTTTGGGACACAGTTCCCTGAAGTCGTTTTTTCGGACCGTGCTCCATACGTGGAGGTGCTGCTGGCAGGGGCTCTGCGCTGTGTTTGGGGTCCCTTCACCCCCCGGGGTGGTGTTGCTGCAGCAGGCAACTCTGTTCTTCTTAGGAATGTGGGTGTTGTTTTTTTTTTTTTCTTTTTCCTTAAGCCATCCACTTTTTGGATCTCAAAAACCTGCTTCCACGGGAACATGGAAGTCTTTAAAAAGCAATTGGCACACTTTTGATTGAGCATGAGGGCTGCTCAGTGCCTGCCATGTCACAAGGGACCTGCTGGCCTTGCACCATGCAGCACAGTAACACCCGTCGCTGGGGCTTGTGTGATCTCCACAAGGGGCTCTCAGAGCTTCCAACGTGCTTATTGTTGACTACTTATGTTATAGTATAATGGAGAGGAGTAATCATGTTGTTTCTTCTGTAGGAAATAAACCCCCACCCCAAATTCCTTTTAAAATGGTTTTGACCAAATCACACACACACAAAAAAAAATAGCTAATTAATTCTAAGCCCTGTAAAATAGAATTTTTTGGTGGTGGGATGAGAGTTTCGGATGTTTCAGATGCAAAGCAGTCCTAATTTTTGAGGAACTCCTTCCCCACTCTCAGATGGCCACCTCTTGACTTATCCCAAACCTCAGCTCACCGCGTATTTCCCCTGCCAACACTCTGGGGGCACTCGCAAGCTCCCAGTTAAGAAGGTGAGGTGCATTTTCCACTGTCAGCAGTCAGTTGCCCCATCTGGAATACCTGCTATCCCCCAGGCACCATCTGCTTACCTTGCTGCTGTGTGAGAGACCACCTCGTATTTCATGGGATCTGGCATCTCCGAACAGCACTTTGCTCTTAAAAGCACATTTTGCATCACAAATGTGTGATGGCAACAAAAGATATGCCCCAAAACTATGCTGGAACCCTATGGAAAGAGGGGAAAAGAGCCCCACTCTGTAAATTTTAAAGTGAAGTTGGGTCCTGCTGACATCAGTAAAAGTTTTTCCATGATCTACAGCTAAGACTTCAGAGAACCCTTCTTGGGTTCAGCCACCAACAAAAGCAGGGATGAGCATATGTGCTATGGTATTTCCAGCTCAAGATGCATCACAGTATAAGCAAACAATTCATAATAAATTTAATCTTCTAGGATTTCCAAGATCAGTTTCAGAACAGAAAGTCTGTAGTTTACCCTTAATTGATTGAAGGTTGTGTTTGGAAACTGGTGTTTTGGGGAGAATTTTTCAGGTTATCTTAATAATTGCAGTGGAGATGGGGGGCAGTGTTTGGAGGGCCACATTTTCATCAGTAAATCACTTCCTAAGGGTTTATAACTGAAATACTGAATAATCGGTAGTTGAGCAGTCCCTCTGTAGCTTATCAAACACTATGGTAAATATTTTTAAAACAAACATAAAAAAAGATCCAAATATGACTTTTTCTGTCAGGGTAGTATTTTGAATAAGGGATTAAACTGAAATCTCCCTTACAAAAGATTTTTTCTTGTGAGAACCAGGTTTAAACTTATTACTTGCTGTCTTTATGAGTTCCTAAGTTAAAGAAAAAATAAAAAGAAAAAAGTTCAGTAATGAGTTGAGCATTTAAGCAGGGATTTCATCACCCCTTTTCTTTCCTCTTTCAGTGTATTCGTGGAAGAAAAGCAACTCTAGAAGAGCTGCAGACAGTTCACTCGGAAGCCCATACGCTGCTGTACGGCACAAACCCTCTGAACAGACAGAAACTGGACAGCAAGAAACTTCTAGGTATTGTTGGCTGTGGGGAGGGCTCCCCTTCCTGACCTCCAGCACTCAGGCTACTGTCCACAGCCCCAACTGGCAATCATTTAGCATTGGTGGTGTGAAAGATGGGCATGTGGGGGTCCTGGCAGCCTCAGCTGTAGGCATTTCCCAAGACAATTCTTCCCTCTGCAACTTTAAGCGTTGACTTGGGTAGTGCAAGATTGTATTTCCCATCCACAGGTGATCTCTGAACCTTAGATAGCTACAGCTTCCTTGCACTCATGTCTTCAAAATCTAAAATAACCCTCTCTGAGGAGGAAAGATAATTTAGAGTCTATTGTACCCCTGGACACTCTGCCCTGCGTGTTAGAAAGTTCTCCTTTGCTTGGTAGGAACTGGAACTCCCTGCTAAGGACCTAGATCTGCAGCACCAACCAGCTGCATAAACATCAACAAATAGCTGTCAGGTTTGTATGGATAATCCACAAGAAAGATGCAGGGGCCTCTTAGATAGTCCTACATTTTGTTTAATTTTGAACAAGATTGTTTATCCCTTTTACTGGGGACTGGATCTTCCCTAAACCAGGGCTGCATCTGCTGTAGAATATTGACTTTTTCCCTGCAGAGTATCTAGGGGGATGGTTGTTCAGATAACCAACTCCACCCATAGAAACCAAATAATCATATCACATTGATTTTAGCACCTTCCTGTCAGGGAGATGACTTCTCCCTTTATTTTTACCTTTTTACAGCAGTAGGTGATAGGCCAGAGGGGCAGCTGGTGAAGTTCTCTTGTGGGCATCAGCAAAAAGAAAGGTCTAGAAGTTTAGAAAGTTTATTTTGAGGATTAGCTTTGCTTTGAATGATATAAAAAGAGGATTAACTTGATGGTCTGCATATTGCAATGGTTGTGGCAAAAGAGCTGGAAAGATTTTTGCAACATATTAAGTACGTACATGAGAACCCCGAAGAGGAAAGCTATTAGCCAGTTGTTCAAACATATAATTAGCACTATATTTTTAGCTAAGTTACCACCTCTTTAAAACCCAGAGAAATGAAAAGTAGACATCTCTGGCTGAATGATAGTGCAATTAGCATGTACAGTTTTAAAAATTTACGATGTCATATCCTTGGTAGTGTAAAACTCTCGCCTTGAGTTAAGTCGTATCCACCAGTCCAAAGAAACAGGGTGTAAATCTTCCCCAGTAAATCTGGGACGGCTCCTTATTTGCAGTTGCACCACCTTCACACTGACTGATTTCACTGCAAGTTCTTGAAGTGTGGCGCTGAAGATGAGGATCTGTCCCCAGCCATACACTCTGGATCGGATTCCCTGTGGTGGGAGGCGGGCGGTCCTCCAGCACCTGAGCTGGTGGCTTCACCAGCCAGGATCAGATGGGGTTTGGACCTTGACTCTGACAGTTGTCATCCCCTGCATGGGACCAGGGGGCTCTGGGCTGTCCTAACCCTGCTCCTTCAGGGGCAATTGATAGCCAGGAATTTGAAACCCCTTGCCAGATATGCTGGTAGGGCTGTGGTAGCACTGAGTGCTTCCCGCTCATCCCAGTGTCAGATCCTCTTGAAATATTTTGCTGTTCCTGTTTAAGTTGTGGAATAGTCTGCATCAATAGTTCCACGGGTGTATTTGGGCAAAAAAACAGATTGCTTGTTTAGCACGGGATTTTGAGATTCCCAGGTTTTGCTGAAACAAACCTGTTTAGAGAACCTGGGGGAAAAGAAACTCTTGCTCTAGCTTTGACGGCTTCTGTAGGTTTTCTGTGCCCCCACGTGTCTTTCAATGATTCATTTTAAAATGTCTTTAGAGATTAAGTTTATGCCTCTAGTGAAAAAAAAAATTGCAATATCTGAGGGTATTCCAGTATAAAACATTGCGTGTTTAGGTGTAATTTGCAAAGGAGATCACGTTGTCAAGAGGCAGTATTCCTGATCAGTCAGATCTCAGACTAACCTCTCTGTGGGTGTCAGACTTTTTAGCCTTGAGCTGCTAGGAATCAGACTCCCAACCAGCTTCTATGAGCATCTTTGTCCAGCTGGTCTGGCTCTTCCCACATCACACAGGGCCACTGCTGTGGAGCTCTGCCTGGCCATAGCCGGCACTGACACTCATGCCAAGCTCAGGGCAAGAGCAAATGTCTTTGCCTCTCAGTGTGGCTGCCAGTTATCCTGCCAGGCAGGAGAACACGAGGTGACAACTCAACGCCCAACATCCAGAGGGACAGCGCAGAAAGCTGAGATGGCAAGAGGAGCAAGTCTGGAGAGGAAATTTGTGTAGCATCCAGGTAGAAGCTCTCCTTTGGGAACAGCGTAGGAAGGTCAATGCTGTCCCAGAAAAAACAGCACAGTTTCTTAGCTTGATGGCTTCCATAGTGCTGGATTTGAGTGAGGATAACACCCTCTGATGTGCTGGGAAAGCCTCCCTGAAAAGCCTCAGTGTGCATATTTGTGCATAGGGGTGAACAAGCCTGTAAGCAGCCCCTTCTTCAGCTATCCTCTCTTGTTGAAAGTTTAAAAGGCTTTTATATTTACAAAACAGCTTTGTGGGGTTCTTTTAAATATATTTGTGGGCTAAATGTATGGCAGGTTTGAAGTCTGAGACCAAAGCTTTGCGTGAGGCTCACATATGCAAATGTGAGTTGGTTAGACCTGGGTGTCTTGACATGTGTACGACTGCAATAGGATAACTGGCTCCATGTAAACTCTTTGCCTTTGATATGTCTATGAGCAAGAAAAAAGCATGAGAAATCTCAGCCTAAAAGGAAAAACTTGTAAAGCTGAGAGATGAAAACGAGGATACTTTTTTTTAAGCTTCTGCAAATGATGACAGGGATGTTGCTTCATCTGACAGTTCTTTAAGAGAATGTGGGAAGGGGGCAAATAGCTCAGATTTTTCAGAACTGTAAGCAGACCTCAATGCATTTGGATACCATGGCTCTGCTGATTACTTTTACTTCTGCAATTGTCCTGTAGTCTGTTAGTTCCGAGCTTTACTTCTTTCTCAACAAGTGCCCTCCTTCACCAGCACAGGAGAGCTGCCTTGCTGCAGTGGACGTCCACTGCTGATGTTGAAGTTACCTTCCCCAGAGGAGCCTGAGCATTGCAGAGATCTGCTTTGCTGTGTTTTATCAGGAGAGCTCAAAGGTGGTGGCTTTCAAGGCGGGTTGCATAACTTTGCCCCTTGAAATGTTGCTAAGGCCCTTGAAAGTCTCAAGACGAGGAATATGAATCTCTCTCCCATTTGAGAGTGAGAAGCTTTGGGACCAGCTGAACAAGTTTAAATGCAGGCAAATGAGGCTGCTTTTAATTTGTGGATAGCAATCAAATTGTTGTCAAGAAGATAAATATTGAAATAATAGGTGGATTAGCAGTGAAAGATGTGACAGGAGGTCTAAGGCAGGATGATCTAAGAGTTTTCATGTGGATCTAATCACCGAGCGAATCTCACTGTGTGCTCAGATTAATAGTACAGATGCATTAACTCTGCTTTCAGTCAAAGGGGTAACGTATGTCTGCTATGCATTTGACACCAGCCTGGTCCTCGGTACCGTGTGTCACATCACAGCTACTTCACGCTCTGCAAAGATGGTCGTTAGCACCAGAGGGAATTTGTTCTTTCAGTATAGACATGACATGACCAGAGCAGGAACCTGGTTTGGTCGAAAAACAAACAAACAAACAGTTAAATAAACTGTTAGCTTTCATTGGTTTTAAATAGATATCAAGCAAATGAATCTCAGGCAATGTACCACAGATCTTTACAGTGCCTGCATGCTTGTATTTCCTTCTCCCCAATTACCTGTTGTGCATAGACACACTTACTTACAAGACATGCACATAGGGGAGTGGTGGTGCATATGAGAGAACACATTCTTCTATAAACTGTACGGTTTATAAACCTGCAGAACTTTGAATGGGTAATAATATTGCTGATGTACAAGCTGAGGAAGTGATGTTACAGTCCTTACAGTAGCAAAATTGGTCTTACAGATGTTTTTTCTCCCTTTCTCCCAAATTCTTAATGTTGGTTTTGCTCTTTCAGTCAAAACACGTTCTGTTTGCTTGCCACCGGTTTATTTTTTGTCTTCGTCTTTTATGAAGCTAATGCGCTCCAAAATCTTTTAGCGTCTGTGCAGATGACTGATAATTAGGGTGTTTTTATGATTTCCCATCCGCTTTCAGTTGAAAGCAGTTAAAATGTTCATCTCAGACATGCTGAGCAGTTGTTGGTAGCGTCTCAATCATTTATAGTCAGCATGATTGCCTGAAATGTAGGACAGCACAGAACGCTTGCATAAAAATAAGTGATTTATGGAAGGCTTTTATGTTGGAGAGGCTTTTGAACACATCCAAGTGCGTATATTGTTTATCTCTGCATTGTAATATAACAGTATTGACTGTGTTTTCTGAAAATTGCTAGAAAACCACGGTCTGTTACTGTGTTAAGAAAGTTTTCAGCATTGCCATAAAATTAGACCAAAATCTGGTAAACTTTGACTTTTTGACTTAGTGGATACCTTTTTTTTTTTTCTCTGCAGGTTCTCTAACGTCGATGTTTGTCAGGCTTCCTTGTGGTGGTGTTGGGGTGAGTACTCTCTTTAATGTGTAAATAATGTCCTGTTTGTTCTCCGAGTCCCATCGGTAACAAAAATTGTTGCTTTGCATTCCATCAAGTAGGTAATTGCAACCAGATGTTATCCATAAACAGGGTCTGCCTGGGGTGCGGGGTAGCAGTGACAGCCTCACGTGCCTTTCTTCAAAAGCAGCATGAAGATTTTAAACTATTTTGGAGCACTGAAGCGTGTGGGACATTCATAGGCATGTTTCGTCTCTTGGCTTTTGGGATGAGAAACCTCATTTCAGGCAGTGATGTTTAAAGGACGAGAGGTTACTGAATTTTAAAGCAGCCTTGAATCCAAAAATGCGCTGCAACTGCACAGAAAGCAAGATGTGCTTTTCGTGCTGCTCGTGCTGTGTAGGTGTTTCATCTTCAGTATTTGCACTTCAGAGCTGCCTGCATGCCTCCTAGTGCAGGTGGAAAATATATTAATAAAATAGTGATACTGAAGGACAATTTTTGGGAAGTTCCTGTAAATAGTAAGTTATTGTATTTGTGTCTGGGCTCTATTATTGTCCTAGAATGAAAAGTCTTGCAGGTTACACAGTGTGAGGGAATTGCAGTCTTTGGTATTTGACATCTTTAATTTCTTGAGCTCTAGGACAGTCACGCCTGAATTCTGAAAGAGGTGACTAAAATATCTGTCCATCCATCACAAAAAAGCCCAACATTAGTTTTCATCTGTCGAGATTTCATATAGTAGAAAAGGCTTTTTTGTTTGTTCCCATAAGGCTGCAAAAACAAATACCATTCAAATACCTTGTGTGGAAGGTTTGGGTTGCATTTTTTATTTGTTTGTTGTGGTTTGTTTTTTACTTATTTATTTATTTTTAAGCCTGAAAACTTGAAAGTTTTCCTTTCAAGTCAGACTTTCTGCTCCAAAGTTTCTATGTAGGGTGACACTACAGAAACTCTCGGAGAACAGGAAGGGAAAAGAATGAGAAGAGACAATAAAAGGCATTGTGTTTGAAAATTCACAGTGGTAGTTCTTATGCATAATTGTAGCTCGTGAGGTTGAATCTAGAGGTCTGGATTCTGTTATGGAAATGAAACAAAATTGTTTTCTTCCTGAGTCTTTGCAAAATCGCTGCTTTGAAAATTATCCCGTCAAAAAAAGAATAATCGGCGTTTATTCATACCGCCACCACTGAGCACTCGTAGAGATATTTTATTTTGTATTGTAAATATGCTGCAGTCTCCTAATTCATGGCAAATTTTTGGCTAGAGTTTAAAAGGTTTGGATTTACTCTGCCCTGCAGTCAGGCATGCCATTCAAAGCAAAAATTATCATTTGCAAATGAAGACTGAATGGTAACAAGTAGAGACAGTGCCTGAGCCGAGTGCAGTCCCAGAAGTCTTGCATTAAATCCTAAATCAGGGCAGGAAACGCCACAGTGCTGGTATTACTGATACGCTCGTAATAAAGATAGCGAGTGCAGTTAAGTCGCTGCTCAGTTGTCTCCACAGACCCTTAAATACGAAATAAAACAGTTGCCAACATTTCTGCAGTGCTGTAGTAATCCCAGCAGATATTTTCATGTTTTATCAGCAAAGCTTTTGAAAAGGAGTAATTTATTAGTAATCAACAACATGTTAGCCAAATTTTTCATAAAAATGGATTTTGTTTGTTTTCCTTGGTTTTTGTTCCCCCTTTACATTGGAATATATGCCAGCTATTCGTGTGCTTCTGCTTTCATGTCTGATGCAGGAAAACACATTCGTCACTGCTTTTGGGATGCGTTTCTAATTAGTATCTACACTGCAGCCATATATTTGTAGGGAAAGTGGGGCCATGGTCCAGAATGATAGGCTCTGGCATATCAAGCGTTACACGCTTGTGTGTGCTCTGGATGGGTTTTAGCGTAGTCCTTTCAAGCCTGCTCTCTACTGTCTTTGGAAGTGTGAGATTTGTCAAGAAAGCTGGTTTGCAGTGTTGTGTGTTTATTGAAGAAATACAGGGAAAGCTGTAGTCTTTGTTAGCATGCCAGTTCTGTGAGACAAGTTGCTCTTGATTTGATTTGCTATGGGAAAAAGCTGGAAGAAGCCCTACAGTGGGATTTTAGCTGGGGCCACAGAGCACGCCTTTCAGTAGCAGATGAAAACCAAATTATTTTCTCCACCAAAGGGGATGACAAGGCATTTTTCAGATGCGTATAATATTTTTTGAAGAAATCAGAGGGAAAAAAAAGGGTTTTAAAACATGAGGGCCTTGGGTAAAGCATCAGTTATGAAGAATTTCAATGAGAGAGGAAGTGTAATTTAAGTCTGAGGAGTTTCAGCATGTGAAGACTGCTGGGAGATTGAGTGCTTATTATGGTGTAATTAAATTATTTTAAATTGTTCTAGCAAGAGAGCTTAAGGGTTCTGCTGTTGTTTGGCTGGCCATCACGTGGGCTGCAAGGTGTCTGCAGAGCTCTTTTGACAGATGAGGAGCATTAGAGTTGTGTTTATACTCTCCCTTGCACTAGATCACCAGGATGGCACAGCATTACTTGTTGCTGAGCAGTCATCTGTCTTTGCTTTATCTCTGACTTGAGTTAGAAGATTGAGGAGGAAGAAAGGTGAAGGAACATGAGGTGCACGAGGTGATCCAAGCGCCTGTGGGACATCTGCTGGGCTATGTAGAGATGATGTTTCATAGCTCAGATTTGAAAGAGCAGGGCTTTTCCTCAGCAGAAGTTTTGTCTTCTCTGATTTTGTCACTTATTATTAATAAGTACAGACTTGTGGATAAGTCACGGGTCTTTGCCTTCGGCTCACCAAGACACCAGGCAGCTTTCCAGTTGTCCGACTGCTTTGGAAGGAGGGTTTTACTCAGGGAACACAATGCTGGTCTGGCAAATGCTTGCCATGGGGCAAACATGAAGCCATAAAGAAAAAACGAAAAAGTTTTCCAAAAAATGAGGCTACTGTAGAAAGAGTTGGAACCAGTCCTCTTTTGGATGCATCACTGGTTAGAAGATGGGAAACGCTGGTGGGAATTACAGCCCTCCACAGGGCTGTGTATTCATGGAAATGCTGCAAAGCTGGGATGGGCTGCAAGCAAGTGTACTTTGCTGCAGGTATGGGGTTTATTCAGGGTCGTCAAGACAAAAGATATTTGGAGAGAAATACTATTGGTGTCATGATAACAAGGGACTAAATAGTAAAGTAGTACACGAAATTCAGTGTTGCTGGATGCAAAATAATGCCGGCAGGCAGGAAGGAGACCTGGACTGAGGCAGGTGAAAGCTGAACGATTGCTGAGCTGAGGATGTCAAATGGTTTTATGGGATGGAAAGCTTGAAGCCAAGTCCTTTTTCTGTACACAAACAGCACAACTCTTTTCCCCAGGAGTTACCATGTAGGCTAAAAGAATAAATGGGCCTGAAAGGCAATGTAGAACAATTTGGTGGGGGGAAGCCCACAAAGAGCTGGTAGATCTTCCTGTTATGTTTTAAATGATCAGGGAACGTTTGAATTTCCATGAGTTCTTTATACTGGTGAGTGTCACAACAGAAGTTTGAAGGAGCAGGAAAAAGCTTAGAGAAAACCAGTTCATCACATAACACCTTTCAATCTCTCTTTAAAAACGAGGTCACAATGTCTCAAAATCAGTGAGAAAAAAGTATATTTGTTCCCTAGTGGTTGGAAAGTCTTGGGTTTTTTTTTCCTCACTGGTTTGTTTTATACGAGGAGCCTTCAATTCATCGTAGCTGACGCTAGCAAACCTCCTCCCACCTGCACACATCCTGAGCGCAGCAGAAAAGGAAGAAAGCACAGAAGCACTTATATCAACAGATGTGAGCTCTGATTTAAACAACTGTAATTTATTCCCACTGATCTTTAGCAACATCTGCAAGTACAGCATGCACTATTTTTACTTAGCGACATTACCTTCACTTCTCTGCAGCGCACACGCTTTTTTAAATCTGTGATTTACATGCACCGGAGCGTTACGTAATCCAGGATAATTAGAAGACGATTTTAGAGAAATGAGTTTGAGCATTGAGAATCCACAAAATATTTCCAGCACGCTTGCATCCAAATACTTCGAAACACTCAAAGACTTGATTTTATGATAGCTAGTATTTTTAATTCTTTTTGTGTTTTGTTTTCACATATAATATTTTCTTTTTTTTCCTGTGTTCATTCTTAGAAAAAAATAAATCTAGTGATTCTTAATGTTTTTTGACCTTTTCCAGAATCTGTTCTTCTATTTTTGATTGTAAGGTCCTGATTAGACTGTGTAAAATATCTTTGCCTGTGTGAGCATACAGCAAAGCACAGACAGCAAAAGTGACTTCCGTGGAATATAAATGAGAAGATACTTCCTAGCAGGTCTTAGAAGGAAAAAATAGGTGAGCATTTTAGTCAGTGCTTAAGGAGATGTGGTTAGGTACAGATAGCTCACCGGCAGCACAGTTGGTGTGTGCTGCAGTCACCGAAGTGCTACGATGAGCTGTGAGGAGAGAAGGGCAGAACTCCTTTGTTCCCCTTCACTTTGCAGAGTCACTTGTCTCTGCCTGTCCCTGTGTTTAATCTGTTATCTGCATGGCTCTTCGGCTACAGAAAAGATTAAAATATTGAAATTTTTTTTAAGACTGTCCTCATTTCATTTTGAAATGGCTGCCTGTCAGCATATAGTTCAGTACACAGCACAGGTAGGAGCCTCATCGTGTGTATTAATAAAGACTTCATGTTTAGAGGAAGGACAAGTTCTTTCAGGTTTCACCCAGAAACATCTCAGACATTCCTTTTAGGAGAGGAAGGCCTCTCTCAGACGGACCTTCCCTCATCATTTTCTAATAAGCATACATGCAAAGGTTTAGGGGTCTGCAGCAGGACCCAGGAACTGAATTTGTTCTCTCCACCTCTGAAAGTCCTCAGTTCTCCTAAGAGCCTGTGTAGCAGAAACAGCAGCTCCTTTGTTGGAATAAGCAAGGCTCTAACATTATTCTCAAGGAGATAAGTGTGCTCATCCACTCAACAGCAGCAGATGTGGAAGACTCGGTATCTCTGACGCAGTTGTATCCTCCGGTTCAGGGGAGAAAAAGAGAAATACGCGCTCTTGGATCAACGAGAGGCAAGAAATATGCTTCCTCTCTCCGTAAAGTCCTTCCAGATGGTAAGGCTTGATGTGCTGTCCCAGCAACAACTCCTGTGATGGCAGCTACATCAAAGGACTCGCAGGCAGGGAAAGCCAAATAGCGTCTCCCAGTAATGAACTTCAGAATTCAGGAATGATGGAGGGGTCAACAGCAGCCCGAGCACCAAACAGCAGCAGCTCCAGAGCCAGCGAGCAGTCCAGCTCAGGGCCACATTAATAACATTTTCCACCATGGCAGAGTCTACGCCCCTCTGCCGCAGAGCGCTGATGACTTCAGTGGGACTGTTCAAACACTTGCAGTCAAACAGATGATGAAGTGCTGCCTTGGATTCGGGCCCAGCAGTCTCCAGACATCCGTTCTGGGGAAGGTGGCTGGGTGTTAAATCCTTATCTTGGAGATGTGTGCACGTGGGATGGGGCAGTGGAGAACTTGCTGCGGGAAGGGGCATCTCTTGATCCAGTCCTCCTGCTTGGTAGCTGAGCGGGGGGGCATGGCAGAGTCCTGGAGGCTGGCTTCTAAACCACAGGTGGAATACGTTCTCTGAGTACCTAATTTCTTTCTGCAGAAATAATAACTCTCCAAAACCGCTCTGTCTTGCCCTCCTTGTTCTTGAAGTGCTGCCAATGCGAGCCTGGTTTCTGCAGGCATCAAAGGGCCTGAACTTAGCGGTGCTTGGCTCGAACACCAGTGACTTCTGCATGGTTTGTGGGGAAGGCTGGCACAAACGGACATCTGAGGGGGTCCGAGGGTCCTTAGGTAAAGCCGTGCACAGGACATGTGAATTCTGCTTTTCAGTGTTTTTATTTTTTTAATGTCTTTACAATGAATAAACGTGACCCTCTGCAATTCTGCATCCATGGAGGGGGCGTGGTACTTACTGTGATGGGGCAAAGAGAGAGAAAGTACCTCTTAGCTGTTAGTGTCTTGAATCATTTTCTTTCAAGACTAAGACAGACAGGTTAGATTTGCTCAGTCCAGACTAAACAGTGCAGCTGTATCTCCCTCGAGTGGAGCCTGCAGGTAAGAAATATGGGAGCCACCCCCTGCAGAAGTGAGGCAGCAGAGTCCTACCAACCTTGTCCTTACCTGAGATACCAGGAGCCAAAATTAATATTACAGGCACGAGGTCTGTCGTTTTCTTAGTAAAAGCAAAGCCAGTGTTCTCTGTTGCTTAAGCTATGCGTATCTCCCACTCACAGACAATGGGAGGAGACGATGTGAGAAGGCAGGCTGCTGGATCTCCCAAGGGAACACAGTGGAGGCATCCTAATTGCAAAGTAACTTGACTGTCTCTTACTATTTTCACGGGACTGCTGATGAGGAGCCTGGAGACAGACCCTTGCGGAGCACTACAGTAGCCTGCTGGTCGGTAGGGAGGAGAAGAGGTTTGCTTTTCCCACCCTGGCAGGGGCTTTTGAAGGGACATGGTCAGACTAGTCCTGTCTTCTGCAGGCAAGCTCCCAGCCCCCAGCAGCACTGTATATACTCAAACCCTGTTGTACTTCTGTTCCCATGTTACTGCCCAAATTTATGGGGGCTGAGGAGAGCCCTGGCATCACAGAGGTACCGTAGGGGTTTTCCATCAATGCAGTAGGTCTCCCCAGAGTCTGTGACAGTGCATGTATTGGCAACATCACCTCAGAGATGTCTTTTTTGTATTCTCCTAATGCTTTCATATTTTACTGCGACTTCAAAACCGTCCTCAGGGCAGATGGTGCCAGAAACCATCCCCGATAAGAGGCCTGGAACAATTTCCACTGGCTTTAGCACAGCCGTGAAGGAGGTGGCTCCGTGTCATACGGGGTGACTTGCATCTCCCCGCAGCTTAGTAAGCAGATTGGATGCCAGACAAAACAAATAACCCGTTTCTCTCCTTCTCCTTTGCCATTGTTTCCGTAAATACGCTCGACAGAGAGTCATATGTGAAAAATAGCTGGTGATTTTTCACACTGAGAAATGTTGCGTTTACCCTGTGATGGATAGGATAGCCATCCTATTGTGGACAGGGTGAACGTACAGCAGAGCTATTCTGACGTGGGACCGTCCCAGTAGTCTGGATTTTGCAAAGGCTGTGACGGGCAAGAAGAAAACAAGCTTTGCTTTCATCGCGGCGCGCCAACAGGCCGGGGTGCTGGGGAGGAGATCCAGAGCCACGATCCCAGCGGTGCCCCTGCTGGAAGCAGGCCCCGGAGCCGTCCTTCCCCCTCCTCCTCTCAGCAGCTTCCAGCTGAATTGTAGTAAAAACTGAGCAGGCATTTTCATCGTGTGTCTGCAAGCCGATCCTGCCTTTGTGCCGTTGTTGGGACGAATGTGGTAAAAGCCAGCGCTCCTCACTTTTTGTTTGAATTAGAACATGATCCTGGGGAACATCGGCACGGAGAACGCCTGAGGAATGCCTTGCCCTTGGCCTGTTGGCACGTTTTCGGGGGGAAACTATAGAAGATGCTGGTGCTGTCAGATAGTTAGCGTTGAACTGGATGTCTGTAGTCAGCACCTAGGCGCTGAAGGTCTGTTATTTTTGATGAGAGAGGCTTGATGTTGTGCTTCCCCGGGGAAGGCAGTGTCAGCAGAACCTTACCCCAGCAGATGCTGGCGGGCGTAGGCTGGGCAGGCTTTTCTCACATGCTGTGTTCTCATTGTGTTCTTCTTTTCTTAGGGTGGTTGAATGATTTTCTATACCTCTTTTTGGCTCTGGGTTCGGTTTCTTCCAGCAATTGCGGAGAAGTGCTGATGTGGTGGTGTTAGAAGTGGGAGACACCTGCAGGTTTACATTTCTTGAGATGCTGAATTTGCTTCTGAGTTACAGCCCTGACCCTTCAGCATCACAGAGGTGTAGCAAATGGTCATCTCTGGAGTGTCCTGTGTTGGGACAGCCATCGGTTGTGTCACGACTGTCCTTGTGCAGCCAGCCACCATGGCACTGCCCCGCTGCTGCTGAGATCAGTTCTGCAAATTCACACATTCAATACATTTGAATAACTCTCTTATAAAACATGACTCTCCATTTCCTGGCCATCCTCACTGCCTCTAACCGTGGCTCCTCTGTGTCTCGATCAGGTCGACAGCGACACGATTTGGAACGAAGTCCACTCGTCCGGTGCCGCTCGCCTGGCCGTGGGCTGTGTCATCGAGCTTGTTTTCAAAGTAGCCACGGGAGAACTGAAGGTTGGTATGAAAATAATGTTTTGCTTTGGAATGGGCTGCGTACAGGATCAACAGGGCTCAGCTCACGGCTGTGTAGTGCAGGAGGTCCAGTTAGCTTCATTTTAATGGCACCATCTGGCTTCAGTCATAAAAATCTTTGAGGATATCAGCAAGTGAACAACAGACTCCTGGTGAATGTTCTTACGCACTGATTAAAAGGGAGAAAGAAACCAGAACAGCAAGCGAAATCACTATTCCGGTGTTATTCGAGAGTCTTTTTGTTGCCTTCAGCTGGGCCAGCCAGTTCAGTGACCTCATGCAGCATTTATTTCTTTTTTCCCTGAGTGGAAGGAAAAGCTGTACCAGCCAGTTTCCATAAAATTCACGTGGATTTCTTCCCACCCCAGAACAAGGGAGAGCATCATCCACTGCTATGCTCTTGTGAGGAAACCATAGAGAACAACTGATTCCAAAGCAAAACTAGCGCTTCTGGCCATGACCTCTGCACCCATCCATGTGAGATAAACCGTCCAACCTGTCTCATTTCTTTCTTTTCTTATTTCTGTGTGCAGAACGGATTTGCTGTTGTTCGGCCTCCAGGTCATCATGCAGAAGAAAGCACACCCATGTAAGTATGTGTATGGGCTTTATTACCTCGCTTCAGTGTTTGCCTGTTGTGTGACCTACAGCTGGAATTAGAAAGGCTTTTTGTTAGGTTACTGTTGCAGAATTTCTTGCTTATTGATACGTAAAACAGTATGCCAGTCAAAGCTCCTCTGGAAGAGGGCAAAATCTCGCTTTGTGGTTTGGGGTGGCTAATTTTTAGCAAGAATCTGCATTACAGCCATGCTTTGGAAAAGCACTGATGCTTTCATTTACTCCTGTGAATTGTTTTAAGCTAAAGGCTGATGGCTCACCCCGTGTGAGGAAAGCAAGGATACGCAATTAATAGCCCAGCAAACACACTTGTGTCCTGGCATCACAGCTCTGACTGCAAGGTGGCAGAGCAGGAAGGCTTCATGAGGCACGAGCTGCAGTCAGGCATCTTGCATGTTCTTCATACAGCAGGGCTGGTGTTAGGGCTTTGCATACTTCATGTTGCAGCCCTGTATCTGGTTTCATGCCCTAGGTGCTTCAGTGTAGTGTTCTGAGGCCTCCAGGAGCATGTCTGCTCCCTGCCAGCCAATGCACATAGCATCTCAGTGCTCCAGTCCTGCTCTTCCTTTCTTTTTCCTCCCTACCATGTCCTCAGCCCATCTGCTCTGGTCCCCACCTCTCACACCCAAGGTTTGAGGGTCACCTGTGGGCAGCTGGCAACGAGCAGCATCTCGTTGCAGCGGGGCTGGGAGAGCACCTCCTGAGAGATCAGGAGACACCTGCTGCCGCCTGGCTGGTTTGTGTTCCTAATTGAGCACACATGCATCTTCCAGAGAGGAAAGCAGAGTGAAAGCAGAAGAAATTTCTTCCTACTGTGTTATGTCTCAGATGATAGATGCATTGGGACCAGGGAGACCTATATTTAACACCTCTCATTTTCCTCTTTTCTCCCCCTTCTCATCACCTTCAGGGGTTTCTGCTATTTTAACTCCGTGGCAATTGCAGCCAAGCTGCTCCAGCAAAGACTGAACGTTAGCAAAATCCTAATAGTGGACTGGGTGAGTAAACACTGGTTCTTACCCTTCAGGAGAGCAGGTGGAAAATTAAAAAAAAATATATTATTATTTTTGATTTCTTGTGGGGCCAGCCCAGACTTTGTAAGTCAGTGAAAAAATGTTGTTTGTGGTCTGTAACCCAAAATCTGTTTGGTAGGTTGGTATTTTTTTAATGTTTCAGTAAAAGAAATGCCTATTTAAAAGGCTTTTTTTTTTTATTTCAGAATAAAATTGTAATTAATATAAAAGAAGCCCATAATGCAATCTCAAGGATGGGTAACTGCAAACTGCGATGGTTTATTTTTTTAGGGATGGTTTTTGGCCTTAACTGCTATGATCCATCCCAGCTTTCTTTTCAAGATGTGAGGACTGGTTGCCGAGAGGGATATGGGCTGTCGGGCATGGCTGGGCCGGTGGTCTGGATGGTCTCAGTGTCCTGCCTCGGGGCCAACACAGCCTCCGTGCGTGTGGGCTGGCAGTCAAAAGTGTTCCCTAAATTGGATCAAGACAGTGAAATATTCTGCAGACAGTGCAGTGGAATTGAGAAAGAGCTTGTTTGTGATTTTGCTATGGTGATGTATAGATCTAAAAACGTGGCAGATACATTTTATTGATTTAAAAATGTATTTATGTGGCTGTAAAGACATCTGAGTTCCTGGGTATCAGCCAAGATATCTTTTGATTAGATTGCAACAAATCTCCGGTGGGCAAGACCCACGAGTTAAAATGGATATATTTGTCTTTTTGTTTTACTGGATGGACATCCTTTTCCTCACTTCCCACCAACTGTTTTTCATGTCACAAACAGGAGTGTTTTGCAAACCCATCCTACTACAGGCTGCATTTCTGCACCAAGTAGCAATGCAGCAAAGGGTGTGGGCAACAGGTTTGTGTCATTTAACATCACTGGGCCAGACCTGATAACTTTGCAGGGCACTTCCTATCACTGGTCACCCTGCAGACTGATTAAAAATGCAAATTTAGGGCACCTAATACAGCCTTTCCATCCCCAACCTCCCTCAAGACTAAGTATGAATCCAGTTCTCTCAATCCAAGTGAATTGGTCCTGGTTTTAGTTTTGGTAAATGTTTGAAATTGTGTTTATTTTCATTTGTCTTGCGTGTTAAATGGGAAGTGTAACCTGAAGCCAGCTGTGCCAAACAGGTTACTCTCATTTGCAATAAACTGCTTCAATTAGATCAGCACCAAAAACGAAGCTCAACACCAAAGAAATCCCCTCCAAATCCCAAGTTGATGGCTTTAATCTGCATTCTTACTAAGGCGCTAACCTCCCTCATATAATGCACTCTCTGTCCCCGAAGGATGTACACCACGGGAACGGTACTCAGCAAGCTTTCTACAATGACCCTAATGTTCTTTATATTTCACTACATCGCTATGATGATGGGAACTTCTTTCCCGGCAGTGGTGCTCCCGACGAGGTAAGAGCATGGATCTGCGTAGCCCCCACCCGCGTCTGCTAGGACCTGCTCGGGGTTTTCAGCCAGGTGCCCCCAAAAATCTTGGGGTAGGGCTGGAGGGAAGCTCCTGCCGCTGCTCCCACCCCTGTGCTCGTTAGCGCTTGATTGGGAGCGCCTTGCCCAGGCCTTTGTGGTTGCTGTGCTCCTGTCCAAGTCCTAACAGCCGTGGGCATCGTGTCCTGCCCTGAGAGCTGGCAGGAGAGCGTGCGCCTTGGCAAATGAGTGCAATTAGGCTGTGCAGTCCTGGTGGGACAACCTGTTCCAGAGCCCTGTGCCAGCTGTCCCAGACAGCATTTTCTTCTACAAGGAACAGGGCTTCATCTATTTTTCCAGCCTTCCCCCTAATGGCCGCTGGCTGCTGCAGAAGGGCCGGGCAGCTCTTTCTCCTCCAGATGGACGCTCCTGCATCCATCACCTCCTTCCCTTCCCTCTGGGCTAGCTGGAAGTATTGTCCTTCAGGGATTCGGGGCCAGCACACAGCATCTGAAGACCCAGACCCAGGGACACCTTCCCTATGGTTCACTCTCCCATTCAGCATCCCTGGGTAGCGACATGAAAGCTAAAAATGCTAAAGGATGCTGCAAGTGGGCAGCACAGACACAATCATGATTTGAATGATAGAATCAATGAAACCTTCCCTGCCCTGTACGGTACAGTATGCTCTTCCAAGCTGTAGTTTTGGTGTAATTTTGAATTTGAAATCAGTCATGCCTAAGGAGTGTTCTGTTATCATCCTCCATATCTGACTTATCAGAGGGAAATTCTATGAAATGCTAGTCCTGCGTCCTCTGAGGCATTCTAGATTACATCTGAAACCTCCTAGAATTCTTACCCTGTCAGTTTTACATGTTCCCGTTGAGCGAACATCGATGTTTCCATTTAGGTTTCTAAAGAAACTGGAACGTAACGCGATACTCCTTCATTACCCTGTTTGTGCGCTACTGTTCGGGGAATAGCAGCAGCTCATTGCATCAGGCTTAATTTCTGCTTCAGGATGCACGAAGGCCTGAGACCTACTTTTTTTCTGCTGACTCTTTAAATTAATAATCTAATGATCTCGTTTACAAAATACCTGGTATTGTAAGGAAACACTATATATATACACATATATAGGAAATTCTATACCTGCTCCGTATTTACTATTTCTAGTAATTTTTAGACATGCCATTCCAGACTGAATACAACAAAAAAATACAAAATAAATTAAATTTAAAAGGGATAAGTAACCCACCTTGGATGGATGTACCCCCTGTGTTTTTCTACCAGCACTATTTGCAATAATACAAAGAATGTGAAATAAAAGCTCTGCAGCTTTTTTTAGCTTAATTATCTGGCTGTGTATTGTATACCAGAATTCTTATTCAATTATTATTATTTTTTTCCGTATTCAGAGACCTGCCTGAATGCAGGCTTTTAAGGTTCAAAATGAATGGGGAAAGCATGGCTTGTTTCTCAGCAAATGAGTTACTGGAAACTCTTGTTTTATTTCTCAGTTCTCACTTGTTTCGCTTACTTGCAGTGGATGGGAGGGTGAGGGCATTTGCAATACAAGCAAGGATAGGGATTTACTTAAATTTAGCACCCACGTGTCCCTCGAGCAGTGGAAATCTCTTCTTCGTGAATCATATTTTTCCCCAGTAGAGGGGGAGCTCGCTCTGATTAAAACTGTTTTTTCCTCCCAGTTGCAACTACAATAAAATACAAAACTGTGCTTCTGAACATAACTGAAAACAAATTAAGGGAAGGTATTGTGTGTAATGTGCTCTCCTACAAAAGGACCCACTTATTGGTGAGGTGTTTTTTGGGTGAGCAGCAGTCAAACGCAGCCTGCCTACAGCTGCCATAAGCATCATAGCATTTGTGAGCAAGGAGGAGCTTTATTTTTACTCTTGTTTGGGGACTGGGTCACTCTAGAGAGAAAAATTAACCTGGCTGCCACTGAGCTATTGAATCAAAATCCATATTCAACTGGAAAAGTCCTGAGAGAGCAGAGAGGTGTTGCCAGAGTTCGCTGTCTCTGTATGTGTAACTAAGTACCATTTCCCTTTTTCAGGTTGGCACAGGAGCAGGAGTTGGTTTCAATGTTAACATGGCCTTTACTGGTGGCCTTGATCCACCGATGGGAGACACAGAATACTTGACTGCTTTCAGGTAATATTCAAGTTTTCCTCTCACAAACGTATTTTTCACCTAAACTGGGTTTCTTTCATCTTGTGTAGTCCTTAATCTTGAGCCTGTCTCTTACTAAGTTAAGAAACGCAGGTTTTTCATCTTGTTGCAGTTAACTTTCAGAGTGCCATGTAGAATAAAGATGAATTAAGTAAATAGGATATTTCTGGCCATAAGGAGTGTATCTGTGACATTAAGGAGATAGACGTAGTTGCTGCTTAACACTGATTGATGTACGAATGTAAAACATCTACTGATACGAATGAGCTCTTCTGTTGCTGGCTAGAAACCTTTTTAAGCTCTTTGGGTGGGTGCTTCTCTGGATAAACCCACCTGGATGGGGAGGGAAACCCAAAACAACTTTTCACAAGTTACCATGAGTTGAAACTTCAGAGTGCAGCTGTCCCAAGGCTTGAGACATTATTACTGTGATGTATGCAATGGGACCTGACTTCTAGGCAAGTTGGCCACGCTGTCCCTCTCCTGCAAGAGCTGTGCTCATGACTTCCACCCCACCTCACTCCCAAGCTTACCTAGCAAAGGGACGTGGGCTTGTTTCTATAAGCCTTTTTTTTATTTATTTATCCAAAACACTGAATTTATTTCCCCTGTTCTACCCAACTAGAATTGGAACCAACTGAGCTGTTGGTTTTGTGCTTTCCTTACTGGGGTCTGGTTTCTCCCCAGAAGCAGCACAGTGTGTTTTATGAATAAAAATACAACCATCTCTGAAATAGGCGTTACTCATCACTCAATGCTAGTGTGAATGCAGGTAAGCGGGGCCGTGGAGCTGAATGAATGTGTTGCTGGGATATCCTCCTTGATTAGCAGTACCTAATGCTGTATGTAAACCGTTGCATTGGGTCGTACAAGCATATTCAAGAGTGCTCTGAAAAACTGTCGGTGAGTTTGCAAATGGAGCAGGGAAAGAAGCCACTTTTTGAGCCACTTGTTCCTGTGCTGATGGTCTTATCCATAAATGTCATACTCATGTGTGATACCTGGGGATTGCAGGGGCATCTGCAGGGAATCCTTTACCTGATCCTTATTTTACTCTCATGGTAGCAGCATCAGAAGAGGTGTGTGAAGCAAAACACAGGTTAACAGACCTACTGCCATGTGCACCCAGGCTGTCGTCTCTCTGACCGGTGTCACAGCGGGAGTGATGCAGGACTGGGGGTTGAACATCTTGCTGTGCCAAGCAGCTAAGGCGCAAAATACATGTACCTCAATAGTGTGATTGTACATCACTGCTGTTCTGGGGACTTGCTGCAAGCCTAGGCTGATACATTTGCCTCCCAGACCCGTAGAGAACGTGAAAAAGAAGGTATTAAAAGTAACTCTGGAAGCAGCAGGATAACAGGATGAAACAATGACAGATCTTTCTGAGTGGAGGAGAACCTGTAAGTAATGCAGTAGTGAATAGAGGCCTGTGTGAGACTACACTTTCCTTTCCGATACTCTTTCCAGGAGAAGGAATAGAATTCCCTGGCCTCCTGGATGTGTAGGCTTCATTTTTCTTTGAGACTGTCCTGTTCCACCCTGTGTCCCCCCACATGCTGTGGGTCCTGCCTCCCCAGCGTGCCTCTTTTTTTAACAATTACCAGTTGAAGTGGTTTTCTGTCCTCAAACCAAATTTAGTGAGCTTCTGGCGAACACCCTGCATAAATTCAGGGGGACACACGTGCCAAAACATGAGATGCAAATTTCTGGCAATAGCCAGATGGAATGTCGGCTTCACGGAATAGCATTGCATGCATTAAATCTGGGAGCATTATTTTCTCTTCTCCACTGTCCGTGTATTTGTATTCAGTTATACTGAGCAAAAAGGGCTTTTACTCCTCAGCATGCCATTAAAAAGCCTTCAAAGAATGTATACAATTTAAAATAACATCTAGTCAAATAACTGTCATTTGTCTTGATGTTTTATTCCTGTTACAGGAAAGCAGCACTTTCCTCCAAAGTGGAAGTCTGTTTATCCCAGCAGTCAACAAGACTGATCTCTTCATTATAAAGAGAACCTGTAACTCGCAGCTGAGTGACATACTTGCTATTAAATATTAATTGAGTTTCAAGGCTCCTGGAAAATTGTTCAGACCAGTCTACGCCGTGAGACCTTTGCCAGCCATTCCTTAATAGACGCTGGTGTCTTTTTGCCCAGAGACTGCAGCTATTTGGGGAACATATTTTGTAGCTACTCACAGCCCTTATTTTGCCGTGGTTTTTGGGTAGCGAGGTGCTTTGTGACTCATCCTCATAGGTAGCACCTCCCGGAGCCTGCCCCATGTGCACACCTTCAGTCAATAAGTTAAATTGGAGGCTTTTTTAATCTTATGCCAAGTTTGGTCATGATAATACATTATCAAGTGACCTTTTTAAATCTTAACCAGCTTCTTTGAAAAACATTTTTTTCCTGAATCTTTCTATTGATTTTAATGTAAAATTATGCTTTGAAGTTTTCAATTTATAGTCCCCTGAGAGTTAGAAAGTGAAGGGAATGGGTCATATATCCTTTTTTTCTTCTTTTCTTGTGTTCGCCCCTTGAGACAATGCATGCCTTCAAGGCAGCACCTTGTTATTCCACCCCATCGAATGCCACGTTGCATTTGCTGGGGATCAAACCTAAGATGAAGAAAAGATAAGAAAATTGGCCATAATGAACTCCAGAAGCAGCAGGCATTTTCACCATGAACTTGGAAACTCACAGTGGAGAACTGAGCTTTAATTCAAACCAGTCCAAATGCCAAACTGTGAGGCTTTGAAGTCTGCAGAGGAATCAGTGGAAATCCTTTGAGCTAGGCAAAGATACTGATATACTTTTTCTTTTTCTCCTTTTTTTTTTTTTTTTTTAAGCCTTAACTCTTGACATGCTTGTCTGCTTTTAAGGAAGAAAGCCATCTTTCTGTATAAAAACACTGGAAGAAAAATATGTATCATGCTTTCCATTTTTTCTCCTGTTTCAGGATAAACAGGTATTCGGATCTGATGAAAGCATGTGCGCTAATGAAATAATAACTGAGATAATTGTCCTCATAAATCAGCCTCCTGATGAATGAATAAATAAATCCCAATTAAACTTATCATCCCCGCACTGAAAACCTGCTTCAGACCACGTCATTTCACCCTTCCCGGAGAAAGAGCAGTAACTTGCTTCAAAGGCTTTCTGCTGATCACTTCTTCGAGCCATGTCAGCCTCCCTGTGTTTGCACTGCAGCGTTGTGCTGGACAGGGTAGCGTGACCTCTTAATATTTATTAGTGCCGCCGAGCCATTTCACAAGTGAGAACAAGAGTTAAAAATGTGAAGCGGAGAGCAGCCGTGCCTTGCACTTTGTCGCTTATTGTCTTCATAACTGAGGACTGAAATCACCGGCTGCAGCCGCGCGCTGCGTCCCGTCCCGAGGTTGGGGTGAAATCACGGCTGCTAAATTTGGGGGGGAGCAGGGTGGGGTCGCCCCGGTCGCTAACAGACGTTGAGTCTGACAGCAGTGATTTGGGAGTTCGCTGAGAGCTTGGCGCTCCTCCACGCTATCGTAACTGCGCTCTGCCTGCCCTAGACAGCATTACATTATAATTTAGCTGACCATTTACTGCGCAAATGTTCCACGGCTGAAGTCACCACCAAAGTATGTGGGCAATACAGATCTCACAGATTATGCAGAAATGTATTAAACTCTAACGCGTAAAATGCAGGGCATATAATTTAAAATGTCCCTAACTCATCAAAATGTTATTGGTATTCACTGCTGTTATTCCGTAGTTATAGAAACAAACGGTTGTAAAATTCCCCCTTTTTTTTCCTTTCTTTTTTTTTTTTTTTTTTTTACCAGAGTCTGTTGTTCCCTGACTTGTTATACAAGAAATAATGTTTGCTCCTATAAATTCTCATGACATTTTCAAAGGTTGTGTAAAAGTATAGTATGCAAACCCAGCTAGGAGACCTGCCGAAAAAATGTGAAGGCTGTGGCTAGATCCCTGTTCCACGAGAACAACAATTACTTAGTGAAATTAAATTGTATTATACACAGGAGTTTTCCTCTGAATTTGCTGTAAGAAACTTTTCCTGATGATTTTAGCAGTTGTGTCGTTTCATCTGATTTTTTTCCAACCCTGACAGCAGCCTCTCGTGCAATTATAATTCCATGTAGGGTTTGATTTCGTGTTACTTTTATTTTTATTTAAAACACCTCAAGCAGAAGCAAAGCCAGGACTGTAGCTTGAGGGGTCCCTCCTCCTCCTCCTGCCCTTCTCGGACAGACTGGAGCAAGCGCTGAACGGGTCTGGGAGCCAAGTTGGTGGGGGGGGGTTGTTCTTTCCTTCGATCCATAAAACATTTCAGAAGTGAATAAGGGGGAGGGCGGAAGCTGGTGGTGTTTTGCCTGGAATCGTTGTTTCTGCATTTTAAATTTCATCCTCTCTGATGCTTATTTCGTCCCCAAACTCCTAATCCCTTTTGACGTAGCGAATGACCGTGGAGATGGCTGCTTGGAGAAACAAAGACTGGAGCCTTCAGGAAGCCGATTAGCCTCCGGAGCAGTGGATAGCGTTTGGGTTTATATGGCCAGCAGTGGGAAAAGAGGTTCTGAAAAAAGTGCTCAGCCTTCTAAGTTGCACTGATTTGCTCGCTGCAATTGAGCATTTAAAAGAATCCCCCGTAGAACTGTTTAATCTGCCTGTCATTTATTAAGCGTTTAATCGGTGAATTGGCCAGAAATAGACTAAGAAGGAGTCAGTCTTCTGGAAAATACATATAAAATTGTATATTTTCCCCCCAGATGATTGCAGAACATGATCAGCAGGTTTTGCTGTTTGCAGCCATCAGTGTTAATGCATAACTGTTCAGCTTAGCCATATTCAAAGTCAAATGAAAGGATTTACTTTGTGCTAAGCAAGCAAAACAATCAGCCAAAATATAGAAAATTTAAAGGTATAACCCTTGTGTTTAAAAAAAAATTGGCGTGGCTTGAAATGAAGATTCAGTGTTGTGAACCCTTTCATTCCTCAGTGAATAACTTTGCAGCCACCTTAGCCCTCAGTTGAAAGACCCAGTTTCAGAGAAAACTGCTCACCTTCTTGATAGTAATTTAAATCTGCGAATAGTATGATCATCAGGGCAAAATCATAGGCTTGTTTGAAGTTTAATTGTTGTTTTCTCTTGGGACTTAGCTTTAATGTGATGGATCTGAGCGAAAAGGGTATTTTCTTCTGTGCACAAGAAAAATTCAAAACCGAAAGACTGAGTTAAATGTGCCTGAAACGCTGTCCGCAGATGAAATCTCAGAAATACATCACTTGAAAGCGTTTCACTTGGGCTTTCGGTTGCCTCAGTCCTAAAATTTCACATGTGAGTCTCATTTGTTTCAATTAAAAGGGAAGAAGGAGGGAGCGCAGAGGCAGGAGGGCTTTGGCACGCTGCAGCCCCGGGCAAAGCCTGGAGCTCCTCCGAAGCCCCATCCCCGTGCTCCGCTGCCGTCACGCTGACCATGTGTTGATTCAGACCAGGGTAAAGTTCTCTGGGCAAAAATATAGCTGCATATGTATGGGTGAGTGTCAAGCAGAGCTGGGGCTGCGGCTTTGGAGCGCTGGTGTAATACTGGAAAGAGGAGGAGGTCAGCAGAAAGAGCAGCCCGTGAGAGTCGGACGAAGGGAAAGGTTCAAGTCCGGATTTGACAGCGCTCTTGTGCTTGGGTGAGCGTGGCAGTCATGGCACCTGAAAGCATCACCTCGCTTTTTTGATCTGACACAATGCCCCCTGGCACTCCTGTGGGTCTCGGCAGCCTCCGAGCACACACATCTCCCAGCCCCCTGGGCACAAAGCTGTATGTTGGGCAGCCTCTGTCGGTCCATCTTGGATGGGGAGCCAGGGGACCCTGCTGCTCACAGTTCTTAACATTTTGAGGGACCAGGTAGAAATTTATTTTGCATTCAGAGCACTAATAACCGCTTAAAAATGAAGCTGTGTGCAGGGGGCAGCCCGTTGCTGCAGTATGGTCACCGCGTCCTCTGGACATCCTCAGCACGGCTTCTTTTAACTGCTTGTCAGAAACCGATTGATTTACGTCTAACCAGCAAGCACTGCTTTTTCTCTCCCCAAATTTCTCCGGATGGGTTTCACCTCCAGCAGTCAGAGCTGCCTGTGCAGTGTCTGTGCCACTAGAGGGTATCTCCGACCTGCTATCGCCGCGCTGGGGCTCTCCTTCGGGTGCCTTCGGACCTGGCCAGCAAAACCTGGTGGCCCCGTGGTTGTGCTGGTGGCTGGATGCTGCCAGACACACGCACGGGTTTGGGTTTGCTCCGTCGGGTGATGCCGCACAGCAGCTGAGGTCCTTGTAGCTCTCGTCGTATTGTAGCTTTGGAAAAAAAAAATTGATGATTTTAGCAGTTCTGCTTGGGTTAGGAATTAAATAGCTCAGCAGTACTTCAAAGCCCAGGGAAAAAAAAACTTTGCCACGTGCACTTGCTTCAAAACTGCTGGTTTAGTCCTTTGTCAAGGAGGTGGTTTCTACTTAAAGTGTCTGTGGGTTTCACTAACCAGGCTTTGTCGGCTAAAAAGCCAGCAGCAGGAAAATACACTGTTTTGTCTTCCTTATGTAATAATCTCTCTGAGGACAAAATGTATACGGCAATTAAATTGTTTGAGGAAAAAACTAAAATTCCGCTTTCATATTCTGTAAGAATTAAAATCTTCCTCAGTACAGAGAAGGCGAATGCTGCCCAAAAAGTTCTGTGACCTGTAACCACCAGCAGAGAATTACTTTATTTTCATAGCAAGGAAAAGAAAAAAAGATCCCTTTTTTTGTGCAGGTTTCCATGTCTCTGTGCAGTGAGACTCAAAAGCAGGAAGATTGCAAAAAAATTAAAGTTTGAGGGTTTTTTTGGGCTGCACGGTGTCTCAGCATCCCAACCAGCCCTGCGATGTACCCAGTGTCCCTGCCTGCACGGGGACACTGCTCAGTGTTGGCAGTGGAAACTCTGTGGTGGGTTTGACTACCACTAAAAGTGGCTCGTTGCATGGTAGATAGCAATACTACCTTAAACTGAACTGTGCAGAGGGCAAAATGGCATGAGATCAGATCAGTCTTGGGGCAAATACCAAAGTTGCTGAGCTAGCAGATGTCTTGTGGCTGTTTAACACAGATGTAAGAGGAGATGGGAGCTTTTGTGTCTTGATAGCACCTGGGCAATCTCAGCAGAAAATAGACCTTCCTGGGGTCTTTCTGTTTTTCAGAGCACCCAATAACTACTACACTCAATAAAGGAGCACCTCTTCTGTTCTCAGAGCATTCTGTAACCACTGTAGTCAATAAGGGTGAAGCTGTCACGGCTACAAAGATACCTAGAGGGTTGTGTTTTGGTATAAATTCATTTCATGCTCCAGAACACTGACCTTGGCAGTAGCCATTCCTAGGACAGGGAATCAGGGAATGCTGCCATCTTCAGTACCATAAGGGATGGCAGTGTTCAGGATTCCCTAGTCATACAGCTGATACCGAGGTCTGGAGAGGTATCTCCAGGATTGGGTTGGTAAGCTTATAAGGGAAAAAGAACATAATTTGGAAAATATTCCTGTATACAGGGGGCCTTGAGATTAACACCTCTTTGTGCACCTCCTTGCTTTTCCACCATTTCCTGCAGTTATCATTGCCTGATCCAAAAACTGAAAATGATTTTCAAGCCCATGGATGCGTGCACGCCGTGTAAGGTGGTATTTATCCAAGAGTGCTTACTACAGGCTTTGTTAATCAGAAAAGATTGTGTGTGACTGTCATGTTTATTCAGAAGCTCCGTTGCTTTCACTTTTTTCATTGCTGTGATTTCAATTCTGCTGTGTTTGTGCTGGAGCTATTAGATGAAGAAGCAATTACTTGCTCTCTGCAGAACTTTCCCGTTTCGCTTAGTTGGCGTATTGACGTGGGAAGTGGGGTGTTTGCAACCTCATGGATTTTGCACAGAAATTTAGTAGATTGAAGAGAGAAATCAGGGTGAAGATGCGTTTTGCTGAGAAACCACAGAGATGCAATTTGGTCCATTTTTAGAGAACAAGAGGTCAGAGGATGGGAAACTGGGATTCGCACCCAGATGCTGGGTGCATTTGGGCTGGATATTTGCATGTTAAAGCTCATTCACTGCCTGTGGTAACCATCCAGCACTGTCGACTTTCTTTTGTTTTGTTTCTTGGTGGGCCAGCTGAGCAGCAAGTTCATGGACCCGAGGCTGGCAGTGCCCCAAACAGCTGCACGATGCAGTGGCAAGGGTAGCGCTCACCTGCCCCGCGACATCCCCAGCCTTTCATTATGGGTCATGAAAAGTGCAGCATGGAAAAAATAAATGGCTTTGCAGATGCTGCCAAGACTAATGGAGATGTTTAGGAGGAGCACAGGGCTGTAGCTAGGAGACAAGTGCCACACACCGTGGTTGCTATAGGACAGGTTTTCCAGGTGGTTTTGCAGTCTGGGTCAGACGCCCTTTTATTTTCTCCTTATGCCCTCAATGTCCTGACATATGAAAAGCAAGATATGATCACAAATGGAAAACACAATGTATGGCAAGTTATTTCCCTGGTCAAAACCTGAGGTTGTCAGCACAGAAAATAAACGTTGTTGAAAAAATAACATGAGAGAGGCATATTGACTTTATACTGTGTGGTGTAGCATTGCAAGGTTTTCTGCCAGCCAGGCTCTCATCCGCTAATTAAAAAGGAAATGGACTTTGCTACTGTGGAGAAACACCACGAGGCTTTATAAACCATTTTCTAGATGGCTTAAGTGTTCCTTGGTTTGTCTGAGAGCCAAAGTAACGTGTCTGCCATTGTTCAATTCTGTTGCAGAACGGTAGTAATGCCCATTGCCAACGAATTTGCCCCAGATGTTGTGCTGGTGTCGTCTGGTTTTGATGCGGTGGAAGGCCATCCTACACCTCTGGGAGGATATAACCTGTCGGCAAAATGTAAGTTGTGGATGGAAAAACAGCAAAGATCTGAAACTGGTGTAAATTGTTGCTGTCCTGGGGGCCAAATTACAATATATCCAGGTTTTATCTTTTGGAAGTCTGCTTTCAAATACCTTATTTCAATGGCAAATTTTTCAGACTTTTTGTTGCATTTGCATTTGTTTTGTCACTACGTGGTATGTATTTTAGTCTGGCTGAAGCCTTTGCTTTCTTGAAGCATTGCATATTTCACTTTTAAGTGCAACTAAATTACTCAAGGAAATTACCATGTCACTTGTACTCATATCTTGGTGGAAGACAGCTGCTTAATTACAAAAAGTTACATTGTTTTAATGCAAAATTGCAGAAAGAGGCAATGCCAGATATAAAAAGATAAACCCCTGCTCTGAATGCTAGTAGACATCTACTTCTTCCTCTAGGACACCTTAATAAAAATTTGGGCCAAGTATATTTTTTCCCTATCCTTGAAACAATGACATGGGTCCACAAGAACGTCCCTTTTGCTTTGCATCTGTAATGTTTTGCATTGCACAGGAGATGCACTCAGCTCCACACATACACACACACACACACACAACGCCTCCTTTTTCACAGTGCTGGATTTATCTGGTACTGTGTAATTAGGGTCATTCAGGAAAATAGTTTTTCTTGCAGAAGCCAAAGGATATTTTTTAAGAGTTTGTTTCAGTCAGGAAACTTATTCTGTATGGTGAACTCCAGACCTTTGCAAGGTAGCTGAACCTATAAACTTTATACAAGAATAAAGTGAAATAGATTTACAAGAGAAGTTATTTAAGATATCCAGAAACACTTTGTAACAAAGAGCTCTTGTTTACCTGCCTGTTGTATTCCCCATGTTGTGCTACTCTCACAAAATGTGAGGCTGGTTACTGCGTTACGTGCTCGGCCATGAGTCTTTTATCTGGCTGTTAACTTGCCAGTTTGCAAAGGCACTTGCAGGGGCTACGAGACACTGCAAAACAAAAAGCAGGGAGCATGGGTGAGGGTAGAAATGTGCAGAGTTCTCTTTCATTTGGATTTTTTTTTTTTTTTTGAGGGGGAGGGTTGGTCTGAGGACATGTTTTTTAAATCCTCACAGCTTGGTTCTGTTTTGTTTAAAGGGTAGAAATGTATTGTGTGTCATATGATCAAAGCCCCGGTGCCCCAGGAATTTTTATAGCATATTATATACGGGAAGGAACGTCTGTTAAGGACTGGATGTCAAATATCTCTGGGGCGCTGCGATGCCGCTATCACAACTGAGAGCACCGGCAGCAATTTTGCTGCTTTCCCCTTGCCCTCCTCCCCTGGTGCCTCCCGCACGACTTCTCCAGCGTCGCCTTTTCCTTCTCACGTCTCATGCAGCAGGGCGAGGGTGGCTCCTTCCATCCTCCTCCTCCCTTTCCCCGGGTGGCCTCTGCCACCACATCGAGCCCAGGGGCTGCCGAGAGGGCTGCCGGGGGGCTGCGGTGCCCCTTGCCCGGATAACCTCCAGCGGGGAGGCTGACAGGGGCAGCGGGGTGCGGATCCATCCCGCGCTGCTGCAGCGGGGAAGCGTGGCTGGAATTCCGAAACGAGCGCATGAAAAATCAAACCTGGCTTATATTATGCCTTTAAGTCCGCTCGGATCCCTTGTGGTTTTTTAATATGATGTAATTCCTTTTTATAACGCTTTGATCCTTCGCCAGGAGCCTGATTCCAGCGACAACCTCTGCCCTTCTCTCGCATTTCCTCTTTCCCCTCGCAGGCTTTGGGTACCTGACGAAGCAGCTGATGGGCCTGGCCGGAGGCCGCGTCGTGCTGGCCCTCGAAGGAGGCCACGACCTGACCGCCATTTGCGACGCCTCAGAAGCATGTGTTTCTGCTTTGCTGGGAAACGAGGTATGGGGAAACAAAAAACATGCCACCACAAGGCCACGGGGGCGTTCCTGGTGGCACCTGCCAGGTGCCTCAGCCTCTGCCCCCTCGTCCCACAGAGTTTCCAGTTGTGGCATTGACTTTGGGCTTCTTGCTCTCCAAAATAGGGAATCTGCCCAATTTTTCTCATTGTTTCCTGTCCTTCCATTTGAAGGAGACAGGTTGATTTAATGAGCACATCCTATATTATTTTTACAACTACCTTTGTTTGGCAATCCGCACTTTAAAAGGATTGAAATAACTAAAAATTTGCTTTTATTCCTTCTCCAAGTAGTTTGCTTTGGGCTTCCAGGGAAATGACTGATTAGTTCAATTTCATTCTGAAGTACTTGTCCAAGTCTTCCCCTCTCTTTGCAGCCCCCCTCCCTAGTGGTTCAGCAGACTTTCTCCACCGGACAGCTTGCTTGACACTGTTTCTACTGTATTTTTCCTTGACATTATATTTTCTACATTCTGCACATTGCTGTGTTGAAAAAGCCTTAACTGTGTTACAGAAGTTGGCAGGAAGGGCCAGGGTATTTGATTGCAAGATAAGAGCAAGGCAGAGAAGTACAAAAAGGAAGTCTAGTTTTTGGTTTCTGGGGAAGTCGGGGTGTTTTCCTACAGAGGCAGATACTTCGGCTTTTCTTCCTGTTCTTGCTGCGGTGGAATTAAAGAATAAATTATTCAGATTCCTCGTGGTCATCCTCCTTGATGCAGGAGGATGGCTATTAGCATCCGCTGTAGCTGGCACCATTTCTTCCAGCATGACTGATAATAGAAATGTTCCCAGTGGTGGCATTTGACCTGTTTTAGGCTCAGGGTGTTCAGGCTCTTCATGCCCTACAGAAATACTGCAGCAAGTTAAGTACGGCGATCAGTTGGAGCAGCCAAATCTCAGACTGGAGACCTTGTGCATCTGCCATGTCTGTACCTTTGCATACATTTCTGTTCGAGAAGCATACATGTATTTCTCTATAATTTGTGGGCTTGTGAGTATGAGCAAATGGTTTGTTTGGGTCAGGCCTCCTTCTTACTGGACACGTGTTCTCCACATGGAGGACAACCACAGTCATCCAAATGGCTGAGTCTTGGGCTGACACAGTAGACTGCAAAAAAAAAAAAAAGCCTTGCATTAATTTTCTGCCTAGGAAAATTGCACCTCACTCAGAGAAGCATGTGTTCTCCCAGCCGGAGCCATGAACATGGTCCCTGTTATCTGCTGCAGTTGTAGCAGGGACTCTGGAGCTGTTCAAAGCAGTTGCTGAGGATTGATGACGTACATCAAAACAGCAGCACAGTGCGATTCCTTAGGCTACATATAACTAAGAAATGCAGCCTTGCGGGAGAGAATCCATACAGACTTGAAGTTGGAGGTGGCTGAGAAACCCAGGGCTTGGCTAGTGTGTTTGCATTTTTTAGGCTGCCTTTTTAATTAAGAGATTGCCCTCAGCACCCTGTGCAAATGAGCAAGTCTCAAAAGGCTGTGACGAGTGTAACAGGACATGAAGAGTCTGCTGCGGTGACTTCAAATGCAATAGACCTCTGAAGGCAGCAGACTCGTCAACAAGGCAAGAAATCTTCCTGCCTGTCAGTGGAGGACACAGGTTCCTCCTAAAGCTTTTACCTGCTCTGGAGAACACAACTGGGCCCTATCATCTCCGCCCTTTGCTGAAGATGCCCTAGTGCAGGAACTGATGGAAGCCACGTGGTCACCATCTGAAGGTGCAGCACCACAGAGAGGAGAAGCCAAGCAGTATTTCAGCTCTAAGTCTGCCTCCAGGAGGAGCTGACTTCTGGGGCTGCTGGTGAGCCCTCAGCAGGCTTGCAGTGACTTGGTGACCATCAGCCTTCCTCAGGTCTGGGAGGTTGGATCTGCATGGAGGCGCAGATCTCCTGTGTTTGCTGACTCTTCTTTGAAGAAGTGCTTTGTGTCGCAATATCCACACTTTGTGAAGGGACAACAGCACCTGGGGAAGCCCCTCAGTAACCAGACCAATAGATCAAAACATCAACAAATATCAAAAAATAGATAAAACAGCTGGGTTTCATAAAAAGCATCTGCTTCAGTCATCCAGCATCCCATCTCCAAGCATCCAGAGAGCATCCATTCCTTGTGCTTGGCCAGACAGTTCTGATAGGGCTCTCAGTGTGATCCAGCTCATCAGGCTGTGCTCAGCCCTCGGGACAGCCGAAAACTCAGGAGCCAGCTGCTACATCAGCACAGAAGGAACAGGGCTTACATTACACCTATTTCTCATAAGGTGATGGTGATGGCACTGTTGTCCATACAGGCAATCCCTTCAGCTCCATCCAAATTTGGATGCAGCCAGCTCTAGTGGCAGGATGCACTTTGAAGGAGAGACTGAGGAAATAACATGTGAAAGATGTCATTCCTCTCGCTTAATGTACTGCTACGATGCAGGCGGGTGACCACAATGTGGTGTGAGGATCTGTGTGCAATAAATAAGCACTTGCTCCGAGCCATGAATGTGTTTGGAAGGGTGTAGCTTCGGGGAGATCTTAGCACTCACGAGAGCTTGGATGTTGTCAACTGGCTGAGTGTTTTCATTTAGCAGAGTGAACATTGATCCTTAAAGGTAAAAAATCCTTGTGTTTTTTTTTTAATCACCAAATCAGGACAGCTATGAGGCGCTTTTAAATATTTAAAGATGGACCTGTGCTCACTTTTCCTAGGTGGGCCATAAGACTGCACAGATATCACGATAATGTTCTCTTACCCACACATCAAAAAGCAGGAAATACTAGTTTTATCAAGGTCTTTTATAAAATCTTTTTAATGCAAGGAAGTTGGAGGGAACTGCTGTTGCTTTGTCCCGCGGCCCTTTGATGAAGTTTGATATACAGCGTGTTAGACAATTTTGCATGCACGCACATGGACAGCCAGCTGCGGCCGGCGACGGGCTGCGGGGAGGTTTGCTCACTGAAGAGAGGTGGCTGCGTTACATGGGGAAGTGGTAGGAAATGAGGGGAGCGGTGCCAGTCCCCAAAGCGTCTGCGTTCACCGGCAGAGATCAAACCTCCCGCTCTGGAAAAGCGTTATGCAAAGGCAAGAGCCGCCTTGTTCCCAACTGTCCAGGAAATTAAAACAGAGCTTTAGCTTTGCAGCAGATTATTTTAATGTGAAATGAGTTAGTGCTGTGCGAGGTGGCTTGAAAAATGTACGTACGTTGCTTTACTTACAAATTTAGTTGTTCAAAACTAGCACGACTGCAGCTGAAAAAATCAAAGGCAGGCATCATGCGGGAGGAGCTGTTAATGCTGATGATGCCCGTGCTGCTCTGTCTGTTCCTGGGGAGCTTTGCTGCTATTTAAACACCAGAGCATTGGTGGCCTGGGCAGGCTGGACGCGGTGCCAGCGCTGTGCCCAGAGCAGAGTGTGCAGCTCCTGTGCCTCGGGAGCACTGCCGGTCCCTGCTACAAACACTGTCTTGTTTTTCTTGCACGAGTACCAGAGGTGTGTCCGGCGTGACTCTGGACATCCTGAACGAACGTGAAGGTGATAATAAGCAGTTGCTTAAAACCTTTGCCTAATGCCCAGCGGTATTTCCTTCCTTTTCCAAGAGAGTGATGGGTGAGGCGGTTGTCTGTGAGCGTTCTTCAGGAGAAGTTGTGCATGATGGAAATGATTCATCTGTGAAATAGCACATGGCTAAGCTGCCTGATGCTGTGTGCTTTATGTCAGTATCAACTGAAAGGCATTAGAAAGCTCTGACTTAAAGATTTGTCCAGGAATAGCTTCTGCCTTCACTTAATGTCATACAGAAGCTAGTCTCGGCCAGAATTATTTTTAGAGTAGAAAATTTATTTAAAAAAAAAAAAAAAAAGTGCAATCTGTAATTATTAAATCTGGAATGGAGCAATTTCTAGTCCTGATGGAGTACCTATCAAATGGCTGCCATGTGGTCGTGAGAGCAAATCTCTTGGCTGGAGCTTCTCTTGGCTTTGAGCAGGAGTTGCAGTTAAACTCTGCCACAGTTTCATTAACTATTAAACTGTGGCTGCTTCTTTGCTGAGGAGTATCCCTGGATGGGCATTGACAAGTATTTTTGGCCACAGTCAACAGCTGTGAACATTTCTTGTTTTGGATACCCAACCGAGGAGACCTGTGATAAATTCATGTTCTTTGTGGAGAACCAGAGGGAAAAAAGAAAAGGGGAAAAAAGGAAAAAAAAAAAAAAAAAAAAAAATGCTTGGAGAGAAGCAGCTCTGCTGAGAGTTATTTCTTGAGTATTGAGTTGGTTGTAAGACGTCTTGAGCTCATGTGAGTTGAATCCAAGCCATTGGCCATGTCTGGGAGCCAAGCAGAGCTGCTCTGCGGAGACATCCTCACCTACTAAGCAGATGCCTCTGCTGCTCCAGAGGAAATCGGTAGTCTCCAGAACGTCACCCAGTCTCCTTCCCTTGGAAGATCTTTTCATAATTTTGATCATTTTTATTCTATTTTTATATATATATATATATATATAAAAGTTGGTTGATCTGCTCTGGAGATCTGCCTTTTCTCCCAGGCAGATCTCCCAGGCTCCTGCCTGCTGTTGGAGTTGTGTCTGCACAGCGTTAAAAGGCTTCTGCTGATCCCAAAGGATGTCAAGAGCCACGTGGATGTATCTTACGGTCTTCTCTTGCTCCTTGGGGAAAAAATAATCTAGTAACAACTATGTTGATTGAGGTATTTTTTGAGCCCAAGTTTCTTGCCGAATGAGAATCGAAGTGGGCAGCATACTTTCAACATGAGGTTTAATAACTTCATAAAGGGCAGAGGGGGATGCAGATGTCAGCGTGTTGGTACATGTGTGCACGTGTTTTGAACACTAGTTCGGTTTGCCAGCACGCTCGAGGCTGGGATGTGTGGCAGAGCAAACCAGAAAACATCGTAGGCAGACACAACACACGTCATCTGCATGTACAGCATAAGGGATCCAAGCCCAGAAAGATACCTGCTTGTTGTGTGCGTGTGCATATTTCTGGGAGGTTTTCTGCACCATCTTTCAATCAAAAGCCTCAATACCAGCAGCATTTTCTTACTGTCACTGTTTTTGTGTGAAGAGCAAAAGAAAGAAGCCAGCATCAAAAAAGACCAAATTTTATTGCCCAATTACCATCCTTACTGCCATCTTCAAGGTACATTTTTATAAAGATGAATGTAAGGATCTGATGTTGCTCTGCCCAGGAGAAAGTAGCCCAGCAGCTACCAAGAGGCATCACCAGTGATTCTGAAATTACAGCCGTGCCGAGTGTTACTTTAAAGCAAGGTTTTTCTGTTTCTCTGTACCAAAATTAGGCTATTTACTCATAGGATACAGTTTTTTTTCAGTTAAGAGTCAATAATGGATTAGGTATTAAGAAGAATTTGAAAGTTACCCCTTTTATTTCTCCAGAGGAAAGAAAGAAGCGTGGTTGTTGCCATATTTTTAAGTCCCTTTTATTTTCATGTCATTGTCTTAATAGTGAAAGCTTTGCAACAAGGTAGATCAGAGCAATGGTTTTTAACAGACAAGTTGTGAAAACAGCCAGCAGCATCACTCGCCTTATTTTTCTGGTCTCTGCAGACAGATGCAGACATCTCTGGCTGCAGCAGGCTCGCTCCAAAGAGCCCCAGCTGCTGGGCTCGGCGGAGCTGCGGCGCTCCGTGTGCGCGGAGGAGTGTCGGGCTGGGGGAGGCTGCGTGTTGTATCACAAGAGCACTTAGGAAGCCTGTATGTTTTGGATATTTAACTAAGGGCAGATAATAGGGATCAGGGGAACAGGGTGGAGGCTTGAAGCCGCAGAGCTATTTGCTAAATCACGCTTAATGCCTGGTCTCTAGCTTGTGATAACATTTCTTCGTTCTTCCTCTCTCTCCCTGCAGCTTGACCCTCTTCCAGAAAAGGTTTTCCAGCAGAGAGCAAATGCTAATGCAGTGCATTCAATGGAGAAAGTAATCGAGATACACAGTGAGTATAGCCCCACTCACCCAGCTGATTCCCTGGTGGGTTGCCCTGAGGACACCCATTCCAGTTCTTCATCATCCTGGCAGCTCCATCTTCAGCGTCAGGCTGCTGCCTGCCCTTATCCAAGTTTGTGGGTGGTCACTGCACAGTGAGCTGGATTTAGGCAGCTGCAATCTGGTCTTACTGTACGTGCACAGGGAACAGCAGATTCAGGGAGATGTTTAGTTCTTGAGAGAGGACTGTATCGGTGCTCCTGCCTTCACAGCCTGCTGTTCTGCTGGTACAGGTTGGAGCTGTGAAGTGCAGAAGTTTTTGTCAGTGAAGGTGAAGCAAGCTGGGAGCCATCCCAGTCCTTCTGCAAGCTGTTCTGATCTCACTGGGGAAATCAGTATTAAAACTAGTGCAGTAAGACCTTTAAAATCTCTATAGAGGACAGGCTGTCCTGCACTTCGGCATGTGTGTTTATCTCTTCAAAGGCAATTCAAGTATCTCTGAGTAATGAGAGTCTCGCTGTGCGTTGTTGCATCCATTAATTCAGAATGGATATAGGGATAAAGTTAAGAATGCTGCATTAAGCTGCTAATCTTGTGGGTTTATTTAGGTGGGGAGGTTACAGTCATTGTGGTTGAAGGTTTCCTGGGGACATTCTTGGGGAGTGAAAAGAGCCTGAATAACATGGGAATCTCGCTGTGCTAGGTCTTGACATCTTCCTGCTTCAAACATTTGCGGTGCAGAACTGGAAGGGGGGTTGGTCTTCATTTTTTAGGGAGAAAGTAGAGCTTAAAAGAGGCCAGAGCATTTCTCCCACTCAAAAGTGCCCAGTAACTTCAGGAATCAGAATTCCATTTCCAGCAGCCACTCTGCAGACTGCTTAGAGCAGCAGTGTGACACTTCAGCAGCACCTTGAGGCAGACAGTGATTAAAACTGAGCACAACAATTTAGAAAAGGCGCTTTGAGTAAGACCTTCAGGTCAGCACGGAAGAACTGAAGAGGTTTGAAAAGAAGTCCCTCCTCCCCATCCACTGGCCTCGCTCTACAGGTTCCTGATTTCAGGCTTTGCTGTGACTTCTTGGGTACCAGCAAATTCTGCATGTCCTACCTGGGAGCCAAGAGGACACCTTTTGTTCTGATGCCCTGAAGCCTCCTCTATGCTCTTTTCACTGAAAAAGGATGTTCATCATAACAAACTGCAGCCATACAGAAATAATGCAACTTGAGTTTCTTTATTCCTAAGTGATTTCCCCAAAAAAGCATAGCAGGAACCTGACAGTTAGCAGCTAAATTCAGTCCAAATCCGGGTTGCATCCTTCCCTCTCGTATATTTTATCTCTGGTCAAAAATTTCTAAGGATTTTGAAGTGAAAAGCAAACGTCATTATTCTTTGAGCACCTAAGTGCCCCCTTTTGTCAAGGCAGAGGGGTGCTGTACACTTCTGTGCAGCTATGATCCTCACACCTCCAGCACTCCTCCTGTGTTTGTCCTTTCAAAAATCCAGTTTCGGCCTCCCACCTTTCTTCCCTAGCCAAAGGAGAAAAGCATCTTTCATTGCAAGACAGTGATTCAGCCCTGATTTGATACCTTAGGTGTCCTTATGGGGTGCATGTTTCTAAATGTTCTTAATATGTTTTGGATTGAAATTTTGCTTTCTTGTGCCTGCACCCCTACAAAATATCTCCCAGCCTTGGAGAGCTGTTACATCCTCATGCACCCAGTGTGGTGCCAGCTGTGGAAATCTGTTATTTCAGCCTCCTCCATTTTTAGTACTTCTGTATGGCCAAGGGTTTTTATGCCTTATATCCGAGAAATAAGCGAAATAGAAGGTTGTTCCACTGCACTGTTTTCTGTTGAAGAAAGGTGCTGCTGTTTGCATGCTCACTCAAACAACCAAGCTGGAAGTGCCAGTGAGTGCAGCTCGAGGTGGCGTTCTGCACGGGCAGGATGAGTCTTCCCCAGTCATCTGCTGGGCCTGGAGGAGGGGGAACACGGTGCTCGACCCATTACAGTGCGGGTGCCCTGACTGCTCCTTTTCTCACCTCTGCCACAGGCAAGTATTGGCATTCACTCCAGCGTTACGCCTCCACGGTGGGCTACTCCCTGGTGGAGGCACAGAAGTGCGAGAACGAGGAGGCAGAGACGGTGACGGCCATGGCATCTCTGTCAGTAGGCGTGAAGCCAGCTGAGAAGCGGTGAGTTGCTTTCCTTCCCTTTCATCACCACAGCTCAGGGGGAGCCCTGGTGGGCAGCCGTCTGGGTTAATCCTTTTAACCACTGCATGTGCTTTCACCCATCTCCTGCCCTTCAGGGGCTCTCTAAAGACCTGGACTGCAAAAGAACAGCACTGACATGAACCCTGTGTGGTGCTTTAGTACGGTGCACGCAGTGCCTGACATCTTCCCCCTGGTGGGCACATAAGGTGTGAGACGTAGCACCACAAGTTGTCCAGCTCTGTCACGCTCAACCATCTTTTCTCTCTCCCCACTTTCCTCCCTGCCTGCCTGCGAAATCGCTCAGACCTGATGATGAACCCATGGAAGAGGAACCTCCCCTGTAGCATTCATCTTTGAGCTGGAGTTCTCCTGTTTGTTCGTCTTCGTCTTGAAGCTCTGCCAAGAAGCTTTCTCTTGTTACTCCTGCGTCCTGTCATGGTTTTTTCCAGAATACAGAAGGACAACCAGGTGTAAAACAAAGCAACCGAAAAATCTCTCCATATCTATACGCGTCTACAGTATATATTTGCTGAAAATGAAAAATGCTGGTGAAGAGCAGCAAAGGACTGACACGCTGGGCACTCTTCCTCTGGTCCTCACCGGGAGCGGAAAGGGGAACGACGCCCGTGAAGTCTTTGGCAGAGTTGCCAAAAAGTGAAAAAATCAAAGATTCAACAACACATACGAAAATAAAACGAAAAGACCTTAATGTAAAACTGGTGCTTACAATTTGATTACCCACAATTCAGCAATCTCCGCTTGAACCACTCAACCCATCTTGTAGTTTCATTTCTTGGATTTTTTAAATGGCTCTTGCCTGCCTGTGAGTCAACGACATTCTTGTCAAAACCAGAACAATGTGAGATGGTGTATTTTTAATGGGGAGGGACAGGGAAAGAGGACTAGTCTTACATCTAAAGGAAAGGGAAAGAGAGGGGGGAAACACAAAAGAGGAAACGGTAGCCCAGATGGAGTCGGCTTTATTGTCTCCAAAGCCATCTGAAGATGAGTTTGTGCCTTTTTTTTTAATTGATGGATTTGGTGCAGCTGGATTTTTGAAGTTTGAGGAACAATGCCTTAAGTAAAAAAAAAACAAAAAAACACACACAAAAAAAAATATAAAAAAAACACAGCAGTTCGTGAATATTTTTCCTCTGGTTGGGAAAGCCAAGAACTGCCATCAGGAAGGAAGACTTTTTGGCTTGTGCTGGCATGATGGTGGGAAGCAGGCATCAGCTGAACAGAGCGTCTCCAAAAACTGTCTACAAGTTTGGATTTGTTTTGTTTTCTTTCATTGCTGTTTCAGAAAAAAAAAAAAAAATTAAGGTAGTTGCCAAGAAAGTGGCAAATACTGTTGGGTCTTTGAAATTCAACCATTTTTAAAATCAAATTTTCAAATGTTTTCTCTCTTCTACATTATCTAGTAATTGAACTTATCAATTTGGTTGTTGAAGCATGTATTAGACACAAATGCAGGTTTAAGACTGGAATGCTTTTTATTAAAAGCAACTAGCATGAGATATTGCTTAAATTGTTAGGTATAAATATATATATGTGTATAATGTATATTCCAAATGTATTCCAAGCTTAGAAACCGGATTCCTATGAATTATTGATAAAATATTTATAATGCATTTATAGAAAAATATATGTAATAAATGCATACTATAACAGTAGCCATTGAAAGCTCCCTAGGGACAGATTTGTGAATTGGAACGTAAAGGTGCTTTTGGAAAAGGATCCAGGTTGAAACTTGAGGACTTTCAGACGACAGGTTGGAAAGTTTTCAGATCGCCAACACGTTAGCCACTGGGCAACTACCCTAAACATTTGTATTTTAATTTAAGGTTTTTAGTTGTGATCCTTTTCTAACAAAAATGAGTTTTTTATAGCAAAGACTATGAATTTGCTGTTAATTTTTATATCGATATTTCACAAAACCCTAAAGAAGCCTTGTTTGTGTGAATCTGACATTTATTTTCTATTTGGCAGGTTTTGTTTCTGAATGGCAATAGCGTCTAAACCTTTTTCCTCCCATTTTTCTTGCTTGTACATTATTTTCCTTTTTCTTTTTTCCTTCCCCCTCTCCCCCCTCATCCCTTTCAGTCTTTTGTACAGTGAGCAGCTTTCTGCAGGCGTAAGGAATTGTTGCAGATTGTCAGAGTTTATTTTTGGAAAGCGTGCGTTTACCGAGGAGGAGGGAATGCAATGGGCTCTTTTGTATAATGATACCACCGACTGTATATTTCCTCAGTTCTGTTATAGTAGCTATGTAAAGAAAATAAGGAGTTTTCTTACCTTAAACATAGTAGTATTACAATGGGTGATGTATTTATCCTCCATGTGGATTGTAGTGAGGATTACACGCGGCTTTAGTAGCTACCATATGGAAGGCTTGTCAGACACTCGTGTGACAACTGGCATTTTCTCTCTCACGCACACGGACACACGGACACGCAGACACACAGACACGCACGCACGTGCACACACACACACACACACACACACACCACGTACTTTCTCTCTCCTCCTCTTTCCGAATCACCGTTGCCGGTAAAGTCGCAACTTTAGCTGCCTGAAGGACTTTTTCCTAAGTTATTTCTCCGAGGAGGTCATTGCGGTGCGCGAGCTGAACCTTCAGCCTTGGCTGGATTTCCCTGTCGCCTCTGGAAAATGGCCCCTAGGAGAAGCAGCTAATCCCTGGCTCGAAGAGTTGAACAGCTTAGAGGAGACCGGATTGACACGTGTACCTTCTTACAGCAGTGTAGGATAGCACAGATCCCTCGTCTGAACAACCAAGGGTATATTTTTATTTTATTCTGTTATTATGACAACTGACGGGGTCATTTCTAGTAACTTATTTTCCAGTTCTTGAAGGGGCTGTTTTCATTCCATTCAGGACTCGCTTGTGGAAGGAATTTGAAGCATACCATACGTGTGAGCAAATGCAAGAGGCTTTTGTTTTGTTTCTCAGTTTATAATGCAATTGAAAAACCAGACACTACTGTATTTGAGTTTTGCAGACCCAAGTACATTTTAAACTCACGAATAGCTTCGGTCACTAGGACCATCCTCAGCGTATTCTGAAAATAACCTTCCCGTGTCAAGGCACGGCGTACCTGCAGATGTTGTTTTTTCAAATGACCACTTTGCTGCTGTGATCTAAAATTAATCTGGCTGCGGAATCTGGTGACGTACTTTAAATTTTCCTTTAGCCGTTTATAAGCTGTGGGCAGTGACCACGTTTACATGATCCTTTCTGTTGTCGGGTCTTCCTGGCGGTTTTCGTATTTTCGCTCTCGGTTGTGGCAAACCTCCTCGTGTTCCCGAGGGCCGCCGGCCGCGCCGAGCTGGTTTCTCTTTCAGCCAGAGACACTCGAGAGCGCGCCGCCTCGCTGCTTTCAGGATGCCGTGTTCGTTTCTTTACATCGTTTTCACCGAGCTTTTGCCAGGGACGGGAAGACTTCCCAAGACCTTTACAGCTCGTCTCCTCCCGAGTCCAGACCGCGGGGATTTCTTTCCTTGCTGTGCCCGCGCCCCAGGCCCGGATCCTCCCGGTGGCCGCCAAGGGCGCAGGGCAAGAGGAGCCCTCAGTTTTTGAGGCTCTTTTCACCTTTTTGAGCCGTTAGCTTCCTCGTTTCAGGTGCCGGCTAGGCCGGGCCGCCGGGCCGCCATCATGGCCTCCATCTTGGAGGCGCGGAGCGAGGCCTGGTCGTGGCCGCGCCGCCGGGGAGCGGGCCCGGTTTGCAGTACACAAGTAACCGTTTGGTTTTCCTTTGGGTTTTCCTTTTTTTCTTTCTTTTTTTCTTTTTTTTGTTTTTTACTTTCGATACGGAACATTCCTTTTTTATTAGTCGCAGTCATGTATTCATTCCATTCTTCCTTTTGTAAACTTTTTGGGCCCACGTCTTTTATGGGCATTGATATATATAAATATATATATAAATATATATGAATATATTTTTTTAAGTTTCCTACACCTTGAGGTTGCATGGTCTGTAAGGTTGGCATGTCTTTATATTGTATACAGATTTTGCACGCCAAACTTGGCAGCTTTGAAAATGAAAAAAAAAAAATTGTGTTTTTTTTTTTTCCTTTTTTTCCTTTTTTTTTTTTTTTTCCTCTCGTGGCATTTGCGGAGACTAAAGTTGGGACGTTTTTGTCACACACGCACGCACCCACACACGCACCCACACAGATACACACCAAGGAAGGAGAGTGGGAACATTTTTTTGCGTCTTACTGAACTTAAGAAATTGTGCTTTTTATTGTTAAAAAGAAAAAAAAAAAAAGAGTAAATAAAAAGGACTACTTAAACATTTCTCATTTTAAGAAAAAGAAAAAAAAAGACGTTTATCTAGCACTTGTGACTTACCAATAATAGAGTTTATTGTATTTATGTGGAAACAGTGTTTTTAGGGAAACTACGCAGAACACACAAAGTTAACTGCCTGTGTCATTTTTTTTTTTTAATTTGGTTGGGTATTTTATTTTAATTTCTTGGCTGGGTGGGGAGGTTGGATGCAACCCTTTGTCAACACATGTAGTCATTAATTCTAAGATGATGAATGACGAGGACTTTAAAGAGTTAACTCTTCAGCACAGCTGTGTTAACTTTTTTAAAATTACTTTTACATGATGTATTGCTAGGTTTCACTTTAAACAGTCGTGTACTGTGCAACACTGTGGTTTAAAACAAGACTTTACATCAAAAGGAAAACATGTTTCTTCATTGTCATGAAGTTGGGCTCGTTCTCAGCTCATCTTCTCTTTGTCTTTGATATTGATGAAAAAGTATCCTATTGAAAGAAAATAAATTAACACTTTTCTGTGCTCCATAGTGGAGGCGCTATTTTCCAATTTATGAGGATGACAAACTTATATATATAATATATATATAAAAGTGGGGGGAGGGGTTGAAACATTATTCACCCAAGAGCTTATTACAGATATGTAGTATCAAAAAGTTGTAACTATATTATATTCTACTTTATACCTATACATGCTCAGTATGACGTCACCATTGGTAGCAGCTACCGGTTTACGCTGTAATTTAGACACAATTTCACTCTTATTGTATGGACCCTACTTTAAGTGATGGTAGCATTCTTTGTGCTAAATTTTCTGATGGTCCTTTGTTTTACTTGGTGGAGTTGGAATATTTTTCTCATTCTTGTTTTCGTTTGTTTTTTTTGTTTCCGTTTTTTTTCTCTTTTTTTCTCTCTTTTTTTTTTTTTTTTTACTGGCCAATGGTGTCTTTCTCTGACAGTACCGACTTCAATTTCAACTTTATTAGGAGTCCAGTATTTTGTACCACATTATGACAACTTGTTATTCTTGTGGTGTAAATAAAAAGAAAAAGTTAATTATAGTACCACCTGTGTTTCTGTTGCTGATCTTCTTGTCGTCTGGTGCCTTCGGTCTGATGTGATATTTCATCTGCAACATCCACGTGTGTGTTGTGATCTCCGTGGAAAGAAAATTGTTAGAGCTCCTGCCCAATCTCCCTCTGCAGGGTGAGGGCAGTGGGGCTGGAAGCCCGCCTTCCCACCTCCCCAGGCACGTGCTGTTTTCCCAGTGACTGCAAATGAAGCCACAGACATCCAGGATGGTCTCATCCTTTGGGACAGAGGAGGTGGTGAGGCATAGCTGGCTTTTGGGAGCACTGCTGGCTCCACTCGCACAAGGATCCTGGCTTGAAGGACCTGGATTCATCCCTGGGTTTGCCCAGGATCAGGACTGAGGGGCTCCCTGAGGTTCTCAGTGTTCCTCTCAAGTTCAGACGAGTTAAGCAGTTTCACCCTTTTTCTTTTATGGGCTCAATCAGACTTGGTTGTCTTCTATTTAGCCTCCATATCATCCTTGTGTCGAGCTCTCTGAATCACCTAAAGTCAAGTTTCCCCATGCATGTCAAATGAAGCATCCTCTGATTTCAAGGCAGCCAGCTACACTTTGGATCTGATATCCCGTACTTTCATTGCCTCCTTCCTGGATGAAGACAAGTCCTGGGGCACCTGTTTAAGCTAATGCTTGTGTTAGCTCTGCAGGAAGATTTGCCCATCATATGGGAACTGCTGCAGAGCACAAAAGGGAACGGGCCTGATGCCATCTGCCCTGCAGAGCAGTGTCCCAGCCTGCGAGCAGTTCCTGAGGCAGTATACAGGGAAGGGTCAAAACCTAGGGACCAACTCCTGGCTTCAGTGTCCTGGCAGCAGTGGTGGCACCACCCTATCTGCAGGCAGGGACCACGAGGGGCTGGCAGCGGGCTGCAATAACCCCACGTGCCAGCGCTGAGCATCGGGAAGGGTCGTGCAGGAGCTGGGGGAGCCCATCAGCTGTGCTGAAACCCCACCACCAAGCAACCCGGCCCAGAGGAAAGGGGCTGCTTTCATGGCAGGGCGGGGTGTCTCACACACCATTTCAGTTTCTGTGCAGCGCGTTTGTCAGAGGTTACTAATCCTTTAAGAAGCCCCAGGTCTCGCTCTGCGAAGCCAAATGTGTGCTTTGGGCTCTGATAAACACTCATTGCTGAGCGGTGCTTTGGAGACCCTGCAAATCAGGGGGATGGAGGGAGGCTGTTTAAACACGCTGCGTGTTTTGGAGGGTAGCCTGTAACAGCGCTTCCTTTGGCATCCCTAGGACCAACAGGATCTGATTATCTGCATCTGCAGAAGTGCTTTTTGCTTATCCAAATCCCCCTGGTTAAAACCTGCTGGTCCAGCCCCAGGCATGCAGCTTGCTGGGGAGCAGGACCTGGCCCGTGAGTGTTGACGTGTCAGGCCTGCGAATGCATCTGTGATCCAGAGCTGCCTAATCTCGCCTGAAATGCTCCGGGCGCGCTGCTCGGCGCGAACACGTGGATGTAAACCCGACACGATGCAGCGGGGAGGGCTCAGCGCAGCCGTGTGGCATCCGCGCTGGGGTCTCTGCGGGAAATAATAATGCACTTCAATAACTGCTGCCTTAGCAATGGAAATTTTTATAGCCAGAAATCTGTTAATCCTAAAGAAAATAACGGTGTGCTGAAACGAGCGTGCCCCGGCCCCTTCGTGGTGGTTCCCGGGGCACCTGCGAGCAGCGGCACTGGGGGCTGCCCAGCGGCACTGGGCTGGGGCTCAATGTCCTTTCCCCTTCCCCTTCTGTGCTTAGGTGGCATTTTGCTTGATTTTTCTCCTTCTTAAAGGAGGAAGAGGCTGTTCCTCACTCTGGGCAAGGAGTCAAGACTTTGCGCTTTAAACAAAGGTCCCTGTAGGAACAGGAGTGCTGCAGGGGAAAGAACAGGGTCCAATATTAAACGCACAGCCTGAGCACACGGGGGGCAAGAGTTCAGCCTGTGCCAGCAATACGTCCTGGTTTTACGACAGGATTTGGCTCTGCGCTGAGTGGAAACTTTCTCCTGGGGCTGGTGCATGTTTGATCCTCTTACGGGCTGCTCTAAAGCCCGTTTGGGGGGCTGGGAATGCGTTTGTTCCCCCTGCCTGGATGGGACACGCAAGATGTAAGTGTAATCCACAAAGCTGCCCTGGGCAGTAACACCCCATATTTTCCAAGGCAGCCCCAAAAGGTTGGTGGCATCCGCTGCTAAAGCCATACAGTGGGATGGGCTGATGGCTGCAGGTGCCCCACTCAGAGCCCTGTGGGTGTTGGATCACATCGTGGTGCCCAGCATGGCACGTGGAAAGTTGTATTAAGCACAAACGAGCAAGCTCGGGGGAATACAGCAATCTCAGAGCTGGCTGATCTAAAGCAGACAAGAAGATTGGTCTGAGGTGCCCCAGCTGTGTTTGGAAGCCTCCTGAGATCAGACTGCTTGCCTCCATTGGCTTCGAGGTCCTCTTGTCTCCTGAGCAAATGTGCAGGATGGCCATCGCTCTGAGCTGCTCAGGGACCAGCAAAAGCTGGCAAATCTCTGGCAATGCAAGAAAACCAGGCCCTCAGCAGGGCCGTGCAATGCTGCTTGGTCCCAGCATAACAGAATATATTTTAATAATTGTGAAAGAAAAAAAAAGAAACCTTCTTAGGCTGTGGGGAAGTCACAGCCTGCTCTTGTTTTACAACAGCGTAACTTAGCAAAAACAGTTCCTGCTGAGGCTGGAGAATATATTCATATTTCATGGCTGTGCAAATAAAGTCTCTCACAGGCTGCGCTAATGAAAGGCTTCAGCAGGGAAGAAGCAAGCGTGGAAGAACTAATTACAGGTTTAGAGGGAACATGGATCATCTCCGCATGTACCGGGGCGCTTATCAGGTCTGCCTGTGAGATTTCTAGTTGCAAGGACGTGGAAATCCTCAGGGCTGTGCACCTCTGGCCAAGGCTGAGTACCCCCAGCCTTCACCCTGGCAGTCTTCCTCACGAGCAGGCCCTGGTGGGTACCTGTACAGTTTCTCCTTAGGCAGGCAGGTAGTGATGGGGCTTTCCAAACACTGCGACACCAACACATGCAGCTGTGGAAGGGCCCCTCGTTACTTAAGCACTCATTAGTTAAGCCTGACCAGCTGTGCGGCCTTCATCCTCACAGGTTTTCAAGATGAGGCTGGATGAAGCCCTGAGCTGAGCAACCTGGTCACAGCTGACCCTGCTTTGAGCAGGGGGTTGGGATGGAGACTTCCTGAGCACCCTTCCTGCCTGAATTGTCCCATGAACCCTCTGGAAACCTATAATTGGGAAGTTATTCCCCTGTGTGCTGCTGTGTTTTGGTACTTCTGCTTTTCCAGCAGCCTGGCTACAGCTAAGCCCTCCAGCCCCCATGGCTCAGGAGCCGATTCTTGCCTACTCAGGGACTTGTCTCTTGAATTTTGTGCTCATTTTCATGTGGTGCTTAAGCTTGAGAGTGCCCACAAGGCCTGGGACCGGTGCAGGAGCAGCCGGTGCTTGGCCAGGAGACTGCAGACCTGGGACCTGCCTCCCCTCCGGGACCAGCCAGGGCTTTGCTTTCAGAGCTCAGAAGGAGACCACGCGCTTCTCTAGGTAAGCCATGGGGAGCCCATGCCTGGTTTCTCCTCACCCCCAAATTTAAAGCATGCTAATTGCTTCAGTAGCACTAATGAGGGTTGATAAAAGATTGTAGCATGCATTGCCCCCCTGCTGCAGCACCTCTTTCCCTAGCCAAGCTGCTGCCTGATCCTAAGGGGAAAAAAAGGTATGGATTCTGCAATTTCAATGTATTTAAAGGAAAAAAAAACTTTTATTTGAGGATGTGTGTACAGAGAGCATGGTGTGTTTGTGCTTGTATCAAAGCAGAGCTCTCAAATGGTCAGCGGTTACAGAGGTCCTGCAGGAACATGAGACCTGTTTTCCATTAGATGAGGAAGGGAATGGGGAGCAATTCCTGAGTTTTAAAGGGGATTAAATATCCAGAGTCCTTGAGAAAGCTTTCAAAATTTCACTCTTCAATTATGTGTTTTAGTTTGAAGGAGGAGAAGGAAAAAAAAAAAAATCCCTCTTTCCCAACTGCGTAGAGCAATTTCTGAAATCCTCCCCAATCCCTGTGAATAATAGAGGCAGCGCGAGCTTAGCAACTGCGTTTCAGCCGGCTCGGGTCATTCAGTGGTGAGCAGCAGGAATTTCTGGGTGGCTCTGGGGCCTGTTTACCTGGGATGTGGGGCTCAGCACTGATGAGGGTCCCTGCCTGCCCACCGAGCCCAGCCACAGCAGGGTTGTGCTGGGCTCCAGGGCATCCTCCGGTCTCAAATTGTTTTCTGTTATGCGCTGGGAGAATGAAGATTGGAACCAAAGGGGATAAAATACACCTTTGGGAAAGGTGGTGGTTGTGAAGGGGAGGCAAGCTGGAGCAGAAACTATGGGAAAAACACTGCTGGGAGCCCCAGGAGTGTCCCAAACCCAAGGAGTGCTGGGCAGATGCTGGTGCAGCCAAGAGGAGTGGGTCTGTGTGGCAACCTGGCATCCCCTGGCTTTATTTTTTTTGACTGAGGAGCCCAGGGATGCCCACAGTGGGGTCAGCTCCTGAACCTCAGCTCAGGGGGATGCAATGGGGCCGCCGTGTAGCTGTGAGCTCACCCCGCGGGGCGGCTTCCCATAGCGCCGGCTGGAAGCCGCCCAGGGCTGCCTGGTTTCCTCCGTGCTGATTGATGACGGCTTCTAATACGCTGATATACTTCTCCCGTTTTATGGGGCGATTGATGCTTAGCATGTGGTTGGGTAAATGGCTCTGCGTTCGGCGGTGTAACAAATTGCCTTGGCCAAGTTTATCTGTTGGGCTTCATTAGGGACCTCTGTTGCGCCAGATTCTGGGGGTGCTGAAAATGAGACTTGAATTGAGTTATTCCTTGCGGGTTGCAGGCTAATTCTTCTTTCATCTAAAGCCTTTTCATATTTGACCTCTCTCCCCCTTATCTGTGACGGGTAATTTGATTTGCACTGTTATTTCAAAACAATTCCTTTTGGTTCCCTTTATGAGTCGAGAAAGGCAGGACTTAAGGACTTAAGTATCACGGGCTGCTTCCAAGCTCTGTTTTTGAAGGGGCTTGGGAGGACGCGGGGGGGGAGGAAGAGCAATCTGACCGGAGCGGTGAAGTATCTGCAGATCCCATTAGGATTCCTCCGAAGTGCATCTTGGATTCACTCTGAGAGCTGGCGCGGAGGCGCGATGGATCACGCCACGGTCTGTCAGAGCCCCTGCTCCGAAGGATCCCGGCTCACGGTGCCGGTGCTGCCGCTCTGGTTAGCAATTTATTCCTGGGGCAGTGCCATAAAAACTCCTCTAGCTGAGCTGTGCTGGCTGTTTGTTTCTGGAGGGAGGGAAACAACACACAAACACGCAACTTCACAACCTCCCCCTAGTCTAAAACACGGAGCCTTGATTTTTGCCCTGGGGTCCAGAGCAGCTCGTTTCCCAAGTTCATCGGCGGGGCAGCCAGCAGGTACCTGCCCAGCACTCACTGCAGGGAGCCAGCCCTGCCAGCCAGGAGGGCCAAGTGGCGTTGGCATGAGCTCCGTGGTCTGCAGGGAGCTTGAACAAAGCCCATGCCAAAACCCCAAGGGCCACCTCATCGGGGTGGAGGTGCTGGAGAGAAGTTCCTGAGAGCAAATGACCTCCCAACAGCAGGCAGACCTCCTGCCTAGAATCTCGGATTTGCAGTAATTGCCTAAATAAATATTAAAAAATAAAGAAGGCGAGCTATGAGTCACCTGTGGAAGGAGCTGAGCCTCATCCCTCTGGAGCAGAGACAAACTGCCTCCAGGCATGGGCAACCTGTGGAAGTTTTGGCTGGTGGTGATGGCAGTGAGACAGCTCCAGAGATGTCCAGGAGTGAGATAATTCTGGTCTTCCCCCTTGTCCCACTGAAGGACAGTCTTCTGCTTTTCCATTTCCCTGTCTGAAAGATTTGCCTGTCTCTTCCTCGGCTGTGGGACCGCGGGGAACTGGAGTTTGATGGCAGAGCTGCTCAGGCAAAAGCCAAACAGAGGAAATTAAAAATTGCTGTGAAAAATGTTCTGAAAAATGTATTGGCTTACAGTGCTCAATGGAAGTTCTCAAGACAAGAAAATCTTTTTTTTTTTCTTCATTAATCTCCCAGTCTTTTTTTCCTGGGCAAAATAAAAGATGTTAGCCCAAAAGAACACTTCATATTTTGGTTGGTTGCTGGAAAAGCCAAGTGAAACTAGAAGAGGTGCACTGCCACCAAAACCATCTGTGGGCTTGGGCAGCCTTGCACAAGCCCTGCTGGGCAGTTGGTGAGAGCCAGCTTCTGGTTCACGTGCTTTTCAAATTTTTAGTTGATTTCTTTTTTTTTCCAGACAACTTGGATTTCACTTGAAATCTGTCTGGCAGGACCTGGCTTCCAGCCCGCTTGGAACCGTGGCCCATGGAGATTAATGACATGGAAAATGAGGAACGCTGACCGTAAAACTCTGAAATTGTGGGAAAAGACAGCTTAGAGCCAGCCTTTGGTGAGGAGGTGTGTGACTTGTTCTGGGATGGTGTTTGGAGAGGCAAAGGCTCCTGCTGCTCTTGCAGGGGAACAGCCTCATATTTAACAAGAACGTCTTGAAAAAAAGTCTGTCTCTCCGCTCACAAAGGAGCTGGAGTGTCTCAAGTACAGCAAGTCCTTTCCTTCCCCTCCCAGAGGGTGTGATCCAGGTTTCCGCGGTCAAGAATGTGTTCCTGAAAATACAGGACAGCATGGGCTGGGGCAGGGAATCAGCCAGAAGCTCCAGTCTCCGATTTCACCTCCCGACGTGGAGAGGGCACGTCCCTGCCCTGTGCCCCAGCTTTCCTGCCCAGTAAATCAGCAGCTTCCTCGTGTTTTGGGGAGCCGTGATAACTGGTGTGCAGCGGGTGCAAGCCATCCTTGCCGCTTCCCGAGGGTTTTCCTGCAGTGCCAAAGCACTGGGGATGTGCTGCTGCTTTTGGGGACACTGAACAATCCCTCAGGCTCCAGTCTGGAGTGTCTTGGTTGTGTGTTTGTGGCCGGACTGGTGATGGGATGATGGTGTTCACTCTGCTCAGGCTGGCAGGGTGGATTTTTGGGGGTCGCAAGCAGCAGGAGGAACAGGGAATGGGGATGCAGGTGGTGGCTGTTTCCCCTGGGTGGGATGTCCCTCTGGACTGGCTCTGCTGGATCGCTAAGTAAAAGGCAGATGAAATGCAGATTCAAAAGCCTACTTGTGTCCAGATGACAGGCTTTCATCTGGGAAGGTCCTCTGAGCAAAGTGCATCTCTCCACCAGGCAGGTGTAATTCACTTGGAAACACATCTTGGGTTTCTGGTCCCCAAAAAGGTAGGCACAGAGATGCTGTGGGGGGTGGATGGTGTGGATATGGACTGGAGGGGAAAGGTGATTTCCACCTGTCAGGTCATGCACTTTGTGCCCAAGGGTTTTTGTGATTGTTTCCTGCCTGGCGGAGCTCTGTCCTCAGAGCCTCTCTCTCTGTTTCCTTCCCCAAATCCCAATGGAGCAATATAAGCTCTTTTCTCCCCATTCTGATGCAAGAGCAGTCAATGGAGGCAGTGGTGGAGGGCACACCCAGAGGTGGCACAGAGCAAAGGATTTTCCTTTTTCCTGCTGCAATTTCCTCTCTCGGAGTTGTCTGTCTCTGGAGCAGAGGTGTTTGGCCATCCCTTCTGCGGACCCTTCCCAGCAGCCTGTCTCGAGCAGGACCAGTGGCTGCAGGCACTGGATAAATCAGCAGAGCAGAGGCTCAGAGAGCAAGTGATTTAGGAGGCTGGGGCATGTCCCCTTCTGGTCGTGACCCTGTGAAAGCAGGACGGGGAGAGGGAGAGGGCTGTTTGAAGTCCCAGCCAGCCGCCTTTCCTTTTCAGCCCGTTCAGCTGAGCTCGATTGAATTAACATCCCCTGGGTGGAAACAGGGTGAGGGCAGACTTCTGCCTCGTGGGTGAGCCTGTGGTGCCCGTGGCACAGAGAGGCCAGCTGCGGGAGCATCCCCACCCTTTGCAAACCGCCCTGGAGGGGCTGGGTGGGTGGTTTGCTCCTTTGATTATTTCCCCTAACCCAGCCCAAGCAAACAGTGAAGAAACCAGGGAGAAGGGAAGGTGAGGATGAATGGGCCCTCAGATGGGGAAAGGTGGAAATCACCTGGAAAGAAGAAAGAAGTGTGTGTGTGTGTATATATATTTATATACATAAATTTATACAAAAACCTGACCCAGGCCTGAACTTTTCTGGCAGGGAAGCAAAATTCATGAGGAAACATAGCACAGCCTGCAATTCCTCATTATATCAGTGGGAGCGACGTTACCGGGGCCAGTAAATCTGCCAGATGGCAACGGGGGGATTAGGTGGGAAGGTGGGACCCGCAGGAGGGTGTTGTGTCTCCCCTCCCCAGCTCCCCCTCCGCCCCCACCTTCCTCGTTAAGGAATGTTAATCACCCCAGCTCCCAAAGTGCTCTGGGAGGTTTGCTTACAACAAAATCTTTACAGGGCTTGGAGAGGGGTTTTCCTTCCTTCTTTCCCTTGCATGCAAGGCTTGGGAGGGATGGCAGCTCAAAGCTGCTGCCCTGTTGGCGTCTCTGGGGTCTCTCCACCCACAGGAGACTTGAGGTGAGGATCCTCTCAGTGATGTTACAGGTTCCTGGAGTGATGGGGACCAAAATTTGGACTGGTGACAGGCTGGGGTTCCTTGTTCGTTAACACCAGGTCCATGTGGTGTTGCATCACCGGCAGCATAAGCACAGTTGGGGATGAGAGGAGTGTGGGCTACATCTCTCCACATTTCTTTGACCCTGCTGCATGCATTTGCCCATTGGTCTACCCAAGGACTTTCAAGAAACTCAGAGATTTAATTTGTCTGAGATAATTGCCCTTGGTTAGGTTAGTCCACAAGCAAGGAGCAGGCTCAGAGTTATCTGCAGGGCAGGGAAAAGGAAACAACCCGACAGATACATGCCTCAGAATCCCCTAAGCCTCGTTTGCTTAAGTAACCAGACCAGCGCTGCCAGGTTGGGGTCAGTCCCAGCTGGGTGTTGGCTGCCCTGTGCTTCGCAAGGCTTCTGACACATCAAGGAAAAGCCTTTTCAACAAATGCACCAACAAAGAGAGAAAATAAAAGATTAGAAATCAACAGGCTGGCAGAGGACCCAGCTGGCTCCTTTATCCCCGGGCTTGTTTATTTTCCACCATCGCTGAGGTTGTCCTCGCTGCTCCATCACGCCAGGAAAAACTGCAGCTCGGTCCTCCTTCCCCAGCTGTCCTGCTGCTCCCCCTTCAGCCTCCGCTTCCTCCTCTTCCTCCCTGGCTGTCCTGTGGCTGCATGAGCTGTGAAGGATGGGCAGCTCTTCTGGAGGGGAGGAGGAAAAAGCGCTTCCCCAAGGGCTCGCTGTGATTTCTTGGGAGTGTTTACAGGATTAATACTGGCAAAAACCAAGCCGCCGGCGGCTGTGCCAAGGAATGATATCACGGGGCTGACGGACTCCAGAGCTGCTTGGACAGATCCGCCAGAGATAAAAGGGGAAACGGTCTGATTAGACCGGAGCCCCAGCCCATCACCTTGAGAAGATACACAGAGTATTTTGGGAGATAAAAAGTGCTGCAGCCCAGCGGGGCGCTGCCTTCAGCCACTGCAACCAAGCTGAACGGCTGGCACTCCTAAGAGCCTGCTGAATTGTGGTGTGGGACGCATGTTTTGGTGACCCGAGGGGGCTGTGTACACACACACGAGCAAAATATCGACCTATTTGCTAGTGATAAGGCCAAGCAACTCACTGCTCGGCTGCAGAGCTCTTTGCTTCAGGGTGTGCCTGCTGAGAAAAGCTTTTCTCTGTGGGGGGAGTCTGTGAGCTGGGAAGGAGCTGGTGGGGGAGCAAGGCAGAGCTGAAGATGAAGCCCTGCTTCTGCCTTTCCCTGGGGAGCACCCGCGGTTCTTCAAAGCACGGGAAGTATCAGCAAGGATTACAAAACCATCCTGAAAAGGAGATTCATGGGTTGTCTGCGTTGCCCCTTCCTCCAGCTAGGCTGCTGTCTTTGCTGCCACGGTGCTGGTGGGGCCACCAGGCTGCTCCTAGGAAAGCTTGGGCTGGCTCAGAAACATTAAGACATGTCCTAATTTCACTGGGAAAATAAATAGATAAATAAATAAAATTAAAGCAACTCCAGGTTTTCCAGACTGGGGAAAAAAAATAAATCAGTCCTTTCTTCCACTTTTCTCTATGTGGAAGTTGCTCTTAATTAATGCAGGTCTTTTATTTGGGGTTTGTCTGATTAGTTATTTATTTTTATGATGCTAGCAGGAAAAGAAGAAGCCTCAATGCCCAAGCTATGTCCAGGTGAATGTACAAGTCAAGGCCTTGCTCGCCGAGTCCTGCAGGGAGAGGAGTGCTTACGTGACCTTGTAGCTTTATGTCCTTTCTGATGAGGGACCACAGAGACTTGAGAACTCACTGAAGCCAAGGCTGACTGCAGCAGACTAATCAAAAAGCAAATTATCGTCCATGCGTCTGTCCAGAAATGCTTCAACCAGCCATCTGTCACTTATTTGCAGCACCAATTTTTGGAGCCTGTGATGAATGAACAAGGTAAGTCCAGTTTGGGTTTCATTGTCCGTCGTTCACCAGCATCCTGCCTGGGGAAGTCACCTTCCCTCTCAGGGTACTGCTGCCAACCAAGGATGGCCTGTGAGGTGTAGGAGTCTCGCACGATGGGTTGTTGTGTTTGGTTTGATTTTTTATTTTTAATGCTGGTAAAGATATATCACACAAGCACCCTGCGCAGAGCACAGCCCCTTAGTGCTGTGTTCAGGCAAGGAATGTGGGATGCAACAACCCATGCTCCGAAGGGTTCAAAAGAGAGGAAAAGAGCATGGGAATGAAGAAAAGCCCTGTTCCTCCTCGCTTTGCAGGTGGGGACCTAGTGCAGATGTGCAGTGAACAGCAGGACGTGTCTCACCCTGGTATAGCTGTGTATGCACCTGTCTCAGCTCATCCTCCAGATTCCCTCTTGAGTTGATGAGAGCACCTCAGAGCGCAATTTATCACATCTGCCCCAGGCTTAGTTTGGTTGCGACGAAGCAAGCTCTCTCCGTTAGCTACAAGAGAAATGGCTTATACATGGCCCCATGTTCAGGGCTCCATGTCATGGAGCTGTGGGATGCCACCTGAAATGTGCCCCGAGGTGCTTCTCACACCACTCTTTCTTTTCTTCCCATGCCAAGAATTTCCTGCTTTGCAGTGCTTGCAGAGCGTCTGCCTGTCTCACGCTTGTTCCTGCCCAGAGCCCAGTGTTTCCCCAGACAAATGGGCATCCAGACAAGCCCAACCTTGGGAACATCATGGTGCAAATTTAAACTGAGCCACGTTATATTGCAGTGGTTACAGGATGAGATTGCTTATAGGGCCAGGCAGCAGAGGCTCAAAGAACGCTAGATGATAAATTACACAATGTCGTCAGCTTTGAATGGTTTTTGATCTTTTGTCAGCTCAACGATGACTAATATGATGCAGCATGTGTGTCTCTGCCTACATCACTGCAGGCAGCATATCATGAGCAGTGCAGAAATAAATCATGCGCATCCCAAAGTACAATGAGAGCGTTAGGAGAGGTTGGGTCAGGTACCAAAGTCAAGGGCTCCTATGTTCCCTCAGGGTGCTCTGGGTGCTAAGGAAATGCTGTGGGGAGCCAGATGCTGTCTCCCAGGCAGGAACAGAAGACTGCACTGCTTTTTTATGCCTCGGTACCTCACAAATACCAGCATCGCCCGTTTTCCCTGGCATACTTGTGGTTAAGAGCCTAACCTGACTCAACAGAGACCTGAGAAAACATCGGTGTCCTTGCTCTGGTAACCCAAGCTAATTACTGGGAAATGACTAACGGGGATTGGACATAATCCTGTCTCATCAGCACTCTGCCCCACAGCTGCAATAGCAAGGAGAAAAAATAGGACTGGGCAGGAAAAAGGAAGGCAGAGCAAATAGCGTCTCCAAAAGCTTAGAGGGTTTCCTCTGTGACTGACCACCTGCATCAGCAGCTCCCCGCTGAGAGGAGAGCATTGAAGCAGTGTGACCATGCCCTTTGCGGTGCCATCAGCTTTTTGCCCAAGCTTCACCACACTGGACGCTGTCCCACAGTACCTCTCAGTGGTCATGGCCTAAGTACACGTTGGACCAACGTGTACAGGACACAAATGGCCATGTCTGGTGTAGCCTCCTTCCCTTGGCATGGGACCCCACAGCAAGCCAGTAACTGAGCTGGGAGGACATAAGGTTATAGTGGTGGCCTCTGGCCCGTGCCTGTGGATGCTGTTGGATGTCACCAGACAAGGGTGAGCCAAGGCTCCCAGAGAGGTAGAGGGGGCCTTGCATAGCTCCTCTGTGACCCTTTTCCTGCTATGGCAATTAGGAAGGCTCAGTTGGACCTTTGCAGCGGTTGTGATTTATGACCGTCCTGAAGGATTTTGCTGGTGGTTTGGTTAGAGGAAGGCCCCCACCACTCATGGATGGTTTGAATTCGCAAGTGATCTGCTTTCTCCTCATTTCTGTTAGTGAACGTCAAAGACAATATGGCCATGGAGCTCCACATGGCCAGATCTGGCCATGATAACACACCGTGGGTCAGCAACGGCATCTACCTTTAGGTGGGTGGCCAGTTTGTGGCCTGGGGCCTCCTGCTCCTCCATGCCCTGCGTCTCCCTGGGTGGTGAAGCAGGAGAGACACCACTGGAGGCCCAGCAGCGTGCTGGGACCAGGAGGTGCTGTCCTGTGGCATGAAGCAGAAAGCAAGGAAGACATGGGGAACACAGAGGCCCAAGTCCCATGATCTTTCCTAATGGAAAATTCTGCCACATGGATGCTAGAAAACAGTTGTTTTGGTAAAACTCCATTTTCCAAGAGGAAAATGGTTTATTTCACCTGGAGAAGATCTCACAGGTCATGATGCAAAATCCTCTATATATTCTTTACACTAAGGCAGAAGCTTGATGGAGAGAACCTAAAGGAAACCAGAGGAAACCATCCTCTCCTAGGGCTGTGGTGGGTTCCCCTTGCCCAAAGGAGGGTTTCCTGCCATCCAGTGGTTATTCCACCTCTGTGACCTCCCAAAAAAACATCGGCTTGCAGCGAGGCTCGATTCTTATCTCCACAAAATGTCTGCCCCAGGCTCGCAGCGCAGCATTGCCTGCTTGCCTGTAACCAGCATGTTGCAACCTCTCTGGAACAGGGCCGAGGCATGGGCGATCACATACATTTTGAATTAGGAAGCCTTTAACTCCTTCTCACGCCATCTGCGCTGTCCTGTCTTTGTATTTTATAGCTGTTTCTGCAGCTCTCCAGCCTGCAGCTTGGTTACTTTTTCTTCCCTGATGGCAGAACCCAAAGGGTTTTCTTTCCCCGGCGATTGCTGCCGTTGTGTTTGAGCTGGAGAAGTGGCACCACACCACCCTTCTCTGGAGAGCAGGCCTGGCGGCACACGTGGCTCCTCCATTTTGTCAGCCGCTTCGGCAGAGTGCTGGCGTTGTGGGCGGCGGGGAAACCTGGTGTGGGTGCTGTGAAATCTGAGCGTGGGGCACCTCCACACCGTCCATACCATAAGCTTAGCCTGCCTGGAGCTGTACCCTGAAAAACCTCTGGGGATCCCCAGTTTGTTCATGTCCATGTCACCCAGAGAAAATCATCTCCTCGACTGGTTACCTTCCGCCTCCCTCTAGTGGTTGTGGAGCCGGATGGGCCTGTGGTGGTGTCGGGGCGGTGGAGAAGGGAACAGCATTGCAGTGTGACGGCTGGCTAACTCCTCACCTTGTTATTAATGCGTCTGAAGGCCACAAGCGGGGTTCCTGCTTGGTCTGAGAGGGACGCACACATGTGTGATATGTCCCTGGCACTGCCAAGCTGCAGTCCGAGCCCTGAGCCAGCACGGTGGAGACAGGGAGTCACACCCTGCAGCTTCCTTTATTGTTTTCTTAAAACAAACACCTTATTTTTTTCCCCCTAAAGAAATAAGCTAAAGAAACGGCTATGCAATTTGCATCATGCCTTAAACGTGCCCTCTCCCTGTCCCCCATCTCCATGTCAAGACTGTAAGATTACGGGGCTTCGGTTTTATTCATGGGCTGAACCAATTCAAACATGTGGCCGAAAGACTGGAGAAGAAAGATGTTGTTAATCTGATGCTCTGGCTTCA